ATTGTGTTCTTCCGGTTGAACGTTTGGCATTTGGGGGAGGACCGTAGGTTGTTGAAAAACAGGCATGGGAGAAGGCAGAACCCGCGGGAATTGAAGGTGCTCCTCATGACTTTGTCTGTGTCCGCCGGCAAAACCCGAGCAACCATGTGTAACGAAGCTATAAATGTAATAAACAATAAATTAGTATTGAAATAAATTAGTATTGTGTTTAGGACAGCTTGTTGGCTGGAAAAAAATTAAAAAATCATACAAATAATATATGAGATAATGAAAAACAAAAAACTTACCCCTTCAATTCGGCTTTAGTGATCAAGCGCGGAAGATCCTCCTTTGCCGCCTCCTCCGCCCTCGACCTCGACCTCAGCCTCCACCGGCATTGAATATGGACTGCGGGGTAGTGGTAGATGGCGATTTCGGTGGTGCTCGAGAGTGAGAACGCTGAAAGCTTCCCCTACCGCGAATGCTACAGCGGAAGGAAGTGCTCCTTGCGGAAGACATTGAAAGGAGAAGAGGTTATGCGGGAGGAGGGCGGATGAGGGATGGCGGCGAAGAAAGAGATAAGAGGAGGAGAGTGGTTAATGAAAAATACAAGAAAAAACATGCAAGGGGTGGTAATATAATTAAACCGTAGGCACAGACGTAAGCACGTCCCCAACCGTGCCTATACCGTGCAGTAAATATCAGATTCTTGGAGAATGGTTTAGGCACGGCCGTTGTCGTGCCAAATTTCAATATCTCTGCGTGTGTCAGGCTTTTTGTGTGAGATCCATTCTAGGCACGGCTTTTTTCGTGCCTACTAGAGGGCATTAAACACGACAATTTTTGGTAATTGCATAGGCACGGCCCTGTCCGTGCCAAACAAAATGAACTCTTCGTTTGTAGGGGTGCATTAATAGCATGTCATAAAACGAATTTATTGGGCTTGTAGGTAGGCACGACGGTTTCCGTGCCAAATTAAATGCCTCTGCAAGTGTGTCAGGCTTTTGTCTAGGATCGAAATTAGGCACGACTATTTCCGTGACAAAACAGTCTTGTCCTTTTCGATTTTGAATTTTATGAGAAAGGTAGGGAATTAGAACAACTAAATCCGTGCCTATTGGTTAGAATAAACGCCGTCCGACAACACCGTTAATTTCTTAACGTTTACGCTATTGGCACGACATTTGGCACGGAAAAATGCTAAGCCAAATTGAAACGCAAATAGAAACACGCCATGTGGCTACTTTCTTTTTTTCGGCGTAGTCACGGTATGTCCGTGCCTAATATTCCGTGCCAATTCCGGGAGTTTTTTGTAGTGGAGAATATTGTGGAATCAAGGTACTTGAATATAAAGATAGTTTTTTAATGTATTAATCCATCTGAAACGCATTATATGAAAACAAAACTCTTTAATTGAGCAATGCATAGAAACAAATAATTCTTTTTTTGTAGAGCTTATAATCTCACAAGAAGACCTAAAGAATTTATGTCTAATTGAGATTGAAAAGTTGCTTAATTGAAATGGACGACCTTTAAAGGAATTCGAGTGCATGCCATTTGGAGATGACAATCAACTTAATAGATAACAAAATAGTTTTTTGATAGAGAAGTTGAACTATGACTAAAAAAAGTTGTCATTTGATCATAGAGGATATTTATCTACGATGAATGAAGATCAGTGGAATATATCTAATGAAATAATGGAAGTCGTGATAGCTGAAAGAGGGAGTTCTTTTTTGTGCATGGTTACGGTGGAACTGGAAAAATATTTCTCTAGAAGTCATTATCTGCTTCTCTAAGGTCAAATGGTAAGGTTGTCCTGAATGTTGCATCCAATTACATTGTAGCATTGCTTTTGCCTAGGGGAAGGAGAATCGAGATTTTTAATCCCTTTGGTGCTAACCGAGTGCTCATTTTATGACAACAAACAATGGAGTCCGAAAGCAGACCTAATCCAAAAAGTAAGTATAATCATATGAGATTTATCATCTACGATGCATATATTTTCTTTTGAGACATTGGATTACACAATGAGAGATGTAATGAGGTTCTCCAATAATAAATTCATAAATGAACCATTCACAGGGAAAACATTTGTACTCAAAGAAGATTTATCCAAATTCTTTCAGTTTTACTCATAGCTTTGAGAGAGGAAATTGTAGGTGCTACCACTAATTCCTCACAAATGTAGTTGTATTGTAAAATTTATACGTTGACCAAAAATATGAGTTTGCATTAATCTACACTCTCTTACACAGACAAGAACACATAAACTTTTTCTGATTGGATAGTCAAAGTCAAAGATGGAAAACTTAGACAAGTGATCGATGAAACTGCTGACATTGAAATTAAATCCTTCTGAATTCTTGATTCTTGAAATAAGTTATCCCCTCAAGAGTTATAGTGGACTTCACTTATCCGAACCTATTAGAGAACATGAATTTTTTAGGATAGTACACTATTAGCACCCGCACTCAAGTTTGTTGAATGGTAATGAATTTTTCATATCCCTTATGCAAAGCCGATTTAAATGTAGCTATTGAAGACGATTGGATAACACTTTAGTTTTTTTATTTAAATCAAATATTCAGGGATCCTAAACCACAAAATAGTTTTAAAAAAGGGGGTACTCACCATGTCATTGAAGAACATTGACTAAATATCTGGATTGTGTAATGATAGAAGATTAATCGTTTAGAAGTTGAGAAAGAACATTATCACTGTAATTGAGGTTTCAGGAAATCAATTGAGAAAAAGATTTACATACCCCGAATGAAGTTGGTACCATCTAATTCAGGACAATCTAAGAAATTCTAGAGAAAATAATTCTCAATAGTTTTACTCCCTCGGTCCCATAAAGATGGGTACGTTTTGACTAAAGTAGAAATTAAGGGAGGGATAATTTTGTGTTGACTTTCGAAAAATACCCTTGATGAATATATATATATGTGTGTGTGTGTGTGTGTGTATATATATTGATGTGTAGATTATTAGGAAAAAGATATGATGTGATAGGTAGTGTTTGAAAAAGTAAGGAATAAAAGTGGTTTTTTAATAGAAATGGGTAAAGGATTGTGGGACGCAATTTTTTTGAAACGTGTAAATCTTTTTGGGACGGAGGGAGTATATTTTAGTATGACTATTAACAAAAGTTAAGGTCAAACATTGTCTTTTGTTGTATTATTTTTAACCAATTTAGTATTTAGTCATGGTTAGCTTTATGTTATTTTTTTACGAATGAAGGCAAAGACATGAATAAAAATATTGGTTCTAGATAACAATGGAAACCTTTACAATCATACCAAAAACGTTGTGCACCCTAAAGTCTTTCAAAAAATTGGAATTAAATAAGGTTTTTTCGAGTACACTTTCATTTCCTCAAATATGATTTATTCTACTTTTGTCGTTGTTGTGCATTGATTAAAAATCGTGTTAAAAATATATTTACTTGATTCCGGAGAATATATTACACTGAAAAAAATCAAAATCGATAAAAATTTTGTGTAACCCCGTGCGTCGCACGGGTCAAAATACTAGTTAAAAATTAATAATTAACTCTAGTTAAATCTAAAGAACGAAAAAATGAAAGAAAAAAGTTACAAAATTGGAAAGCTATAAATACGGAATACCTGGAGGCTGTTGGCTTGGCGCCCAGCGGCGTCTGGACTCTGGCGGCGACGGCGTCACTCTATCGGCAGTTTTCCGATTTGGCTATTATGTTCAGTCGACCTCGCCCTTAGGCCTTCTCGCGATATTCGCTAAAGAGACGGGCCTTGAAAACTGGGCTATGGCCTCTTAAATTCATGGGCCCGGTATTGGGCCGGCCTTGGGTAGGCATACTCCGTCGGAGTATTTTTTTACTTTTCAAAACCTTCAATGCAATATTTTGACCATCAATATCTTTATTTATGTTTCACCATTCGTCCAATTTAATCTTTCCATTTGAATTATCACGGTCTCAAATGTAAAACTTTGACCATTAATATTGTTATTTATATCAAAACATATTTTATAACAAATTAACCTAAATAGTTCAAAATGACACTCTAGATACCCCATTTTATGCAAACAACATTTTTTTTGCATATGAGGTCAAAGTTTATATACTTTGACTTAGAAAAGTCAATTGAAAAGATTACTCGTAAATATGGACAAAAGAAGTACAAACATAGATTATAAAAATATGATATTGTAAAATTATGTTTCAAAATGAATCTACTAACATTAAATTTATACTCCCTCTGTTCAAAATTTTTTTCCCCGGTTTGACTTGACACGAAGATTAAGAAAAGCTAAAAAGTGTAAAGACTTTTCAGGTGTTGTCTTTGATATGATGGAATAAAACGAACAGTGTGGATAAAAAGTAAGAGCATATTGTTACATTCATTAAAATTGTTTTGCCTAAATAGGAAACGAGAAAGAAACTTTTGAACAATCCAAAAAAAAGTAAGAAAAAATTAACTGAAGAAGAGAGTACCAGACAATTCAATATATTTTTCCCATAATTTATGATCAAGTTTGAAAATGTTGACTACAAAAGTAAAAATAGAAAGAATGATATAAGAGGAGAATTTAGAGAATATATATAAAGTTAGAGGATTAAATAATTAATTAAGAACCCAAAATAATTATGTAATTAATGATATTTCTGTCAAACAGTTATATCGACTATAAGTACTGAATTCACAAAAGAGAATGCCTACAAATCAGAACGTAAATTGTGGACGTGAGTGCATGCAAACATGTAAATCCCCCGCAACCATCCAATCCATCTCTCTTTCCTCTTCTTCCTTTACGTACTATCGTCTATTTTCATTATTTATATAACCACTCACAGCTCTATTAATGAACTTCTTCAATCTTCATCCATTATTCCTCTCAGAATCGAGAGATAGACAAAGAAAAGGGGATCATTATCCAAAGGGTGGTTGAATTCATTAATCACATTTCGGATTTTGATCCCTACACCTTATTACGTGCGTGCATGTATACAGATTTTACGTACGTTCTTCATCATTAATTCTCACAACAGAAGTAATTGAATCTCCCTGCCCAGCTACCTTAATTACCGAGTATAGCTTCGTTCAGATGAGTAATTAAACATGGCGCAGATGAGATCGACAATGTCTTTCAAGCATTTTGTGGAACAAAACCTTCCAAAATATGCCAACGTGGTCATATACGCGGTGCTTGAATGGGTGATGATCCTTTTGATTTTCGTAGACGGCTTCTTGGCGCTCTTGTCCGACGAGTTCGCGCGGTTTTTCGAGCTAAACATCCCCTGTTTGCTGTGCACAAGGATAGATTGTGTCCTTTCACGTTGCCGCAGGTCGTGGTCCTCGTCAAGCGCCTCGTACGACGATTCGTTGTGCGAATCGCACAAGAGGGAGATTTCCTCCCTCGGGTACTGCAATGCCCACAAGAAGATTTCCAACATAGGGCGAATGTGCGAAAACTGCATTGGTTCACATGGGAAGGAAAAGAGAGAGGACACTTCGAAGGAGGTCGAGATGACGAGTTGTTCTTGTTGCGGGGAATTTATCAAAAAACGGCTTGTGGCGACGGGGAACAATAAGTGTTACAGGAGAAATGGCTCGATGAATGGTCCAACGCCATCCCCTCGTGTTCGGAGACAACATGAGCAGCATCTGCAACAACGCAGCGTCGATTCTCCGCGCATGCGTTTCAAGGACCTAAAGATGATCTCTGACTCCGACGAGGATTATCTTTCAAATATTGCTAGAGAAGGTAACAAGCTAGCTTTTAATGGTTTATATACAATAATAACTAATGATGATATTGGTCACTAATTTAATTTGCAGTAATCGAGGATTGTAATAATAAGAAATCATCATCATCAGAGGGAACATTAGTGCCGCAGGAAGAAGCTTGCAGAACCCCGAATTTCATGAGAGGAAATCTCAACAACAGGTTCTACGGAATCCCGCTGACCGACTCCGCCCACGCCAGTCCCAGGCTGTCCCGGCTGTCCATAGAAAACATCCTCTCCGATCTCAACAGCAACGACGAGTCCTCCTCCTCGTCGACGACGACAGCAGCAGGCGACCAGGGCGGAGACATCGTGGGGCAGCTGAAGAGGCAGGTGCGGCTGGACCACAAGTCGCTGGCGGCACTGTACGCGGAGCTGGAGGAGGAGAGGAACGCGGCGGGGATCGCGGCGAACAACGCGATGGCGATGATCACGCGGCTGCAGGACGAGAAGGCGGCGCTGCAGATGGAGGCGCTGCAGTACCAGAGGATGATGGAGGAGGAGGTGGAGTTCGACCAGGAGGAGGTGGAGCTCATGAAGGAGATGCTGGGGAGGAGGGAGGAGGAGATGAAGGCTCTCGAGGACGAGCTCGACGCTTATCGACTCAAATACGGGCCATTATTATCTGATGAAGAAGACGATGATGATGATGATGATTATCAGGAACTGAGGTCCAACTTATTGCCCTCATCATTTAACGTGTCGGAATGTGTCAGTCCTCGTGATGATGATGAACGTAACTCTACTTACCACTGATCAACGAACCAAGTTGGCTATTGGCTAATTACGTACAAAGGGTCCGTCCGTAATTACTCTTTCATGTGGCACTGATTAATACTCCAATTAATTTGCATTATTATTGAGATCATGTCTTGTTATATTATCTTCTTCTGATTTGCAGGATAATAATTAATTAGAAGGAGGATATCCAGATCCAGAGATTATTCTATCAATCAATTCAACAAATTAAAGATGGCATCGGAGGATATATACTCCAAAGTAATTAATTATTCATCACCGGCCACGTACGTACGTAATAGCTGGGTGGTATATATTGTTGATTATTGGTTGATGTCTAGCTAGTGCATGCATGCATCAGATAAAGTGTATGTATAACTAAGATTATATATACGGCAGTGTGTGTAATTATTAGTACCATCAATGGCTTTTTTTGTATGGCTTTTTTTTTTGTATAATTACTTCTTTTATCATCTTTAATCTATTCTTGTGAAAGAATTCTATCCGTGTAATCTTTCTACGAGTATTACTTTCTAAAGAAAGAATTCTATGTTAAGGTTCATTCTCCAATCAAGTTGGATGGGACAACCTCTCGAAATGAAAAAATAAAATAGGTCCAGTTTAAAATTTATATTTTGAGTCTTATTTTATTTTTTTTAGAATATTTATTCTTTAAAAGTAATGGCGAATTTAAAAATATGGAGTCCTGTGACGGTTGACCACTCTGCACGCCCTAAACCAAGCATGAGTTGAATTGGGCCGGTCCTTTGGAAAACTAGTAGTGAAATTTGCACTAAATAGTACTAAAACATAATGACTTTCCTAATGTAGGACTTAAACTTTTTTATTCCCTAAATAGGACTTAATAATGACCTAGTGGAAAGAATAATGTCCAGTAATGATGGACAATTACTTAAATAATGACTAGTTCATAATGATCAATTGTCCTACATTGGGAAATAAAAACATATGATCCTATATTGGGAAAGTCATTATGTTTTAGTCATAGGTAAATTACTCAAACTAGTAGTGATTAGGACAAAACCAATACGGGTGTCTTTTTTTTAATGTACTAACTACTCTACTAGATTAGTGTGGTTTTCACTTTTCATAAAAACATGGACTTTGACCTGGAACTCCGACCCATCCAAATCCATTTAGGTTCTTATTTTTAATATTTAAATTTTCTAAGTTTTTAATGAAATAAAAATCATTACTTTTGATTATCTAATTTCTTTTATTTCTATATACTCTTGATTATCTAATTTCTTTACTTTTCTTTAGGGAATAAAATAGTTTATGCATTATTTAGAGAAATGACTTACGTTTTTGTATCATTTTGTGCAAATATTTCTAACTATTTATGGAATAAGAATATTACGGAGTATTATCTAAGGTAGAAATCCGATGAAATGAACGAAAAAATAAATTTTAATATATACTACCTCTGTCCTAAAACTTTCTTCCCAGAGCACTATTCAAACTTCAAGAGAATTTATATTTATTTGTGTTTTTTCATGGCCTATATGATAAAATAAAATATTCTTGTCACCACTTGTTTTGTTGAACTTTTGATGTAGTTTTTAAATATGTATGTTTTATTTTTTATTTCTATACCAATATTTAAATAAAATAGATTGAAAAAACTTGGGATTTTTATTCGTTTTGCGCAACGGGAAGAAAGTTTTAGGACGGATGAAGTATTTTCTAGATATATGTTTTTCATCTTCTTACTGTGTATTTGTAAATTTATAAAAAAAACAATGTTAACTACTATACTCTATATTATACTCTTTATTTGATAGGGTAAACACATTTATATAAAAATTAAATCTTAAAGAATACTCCCTCTGTCAGAAAGAATTTCCTATTTTGATTAACGTGCAAAACTACGTGGATTTTATAATGATTTTATATGAAAATTGGTAAAAAAATAACACATAAAAAATTATATTTAAAAATTACATCGAAAACTCTATAAAATAAGAGGTGACAAGAATATTTTATTTTATCAAATGATCAATGAAAACACGCAAACAAATTGGAATTATCGAGAGGTAAACATGAAAGACTTTTTAGGGCGGGGGAATATTACATTTCTAGTCATAGTTCGATCTTGGCCTTAACTTGTGGAAACGACCACTCGTTCGAGACCGGTTTAATCTCTTATTAAAAAAATTTAAGAATCAAATGACACAATTTGTCCATGACTAGATTCAAAGGCCACTTCGACCCTGATCCATCTTTTCTAATCGCAATGCAATCTATTCCCATTTATTTTTTTTATGTTAACCTTTTAGTTTATCACTACTGGAAAGATTATGGTGTTTTTTTGAAGGGGATGCCGATGGATTGAAAATTAAACAAGTCAAAGAAGAATTCACAGACAATCTGTGCAGGGGAATGATTTGAATTCTCCTTTTTTTTTTGTTGACGCAATTTATGGAAGGACCTCAATAAAAATGGCCCAAATCAGGGCGGCTATGGGAGCGCCACTCAAAAGTTGGTCTCCCACCATATGGTCGAAGGCAGCAATCCCACAGAAGCAATCGCACGCCCCGATATTCTTCTTCCCCACCGCAATCTTTCTCCGGTCGCCGCCTCGCTGCACTCTTGCAACCATGAGCACCGACGGAGAATCAAACTCGAGCTCCGGCGCCGCCGATGTCGACGCGATCTTCGCCCAGAAAAAGGCTCTTCGTTCCAAACTCAAAAGAGATCTCAAGTCTATGGATTCTTCTCTAAGGTCCCAAGAAGGTAATTACACGAATCCACCTGCATCGTTTTGTTTAATTTTTTGACTGGAGACCTTTTTCTCAGATGAACAAATACAGAATGTAGTTTTGCAAGCTCCATGGTTTAAAGATTGTAAAAGCCTCTGTGCTTACATTAGCTGTAGTACCCTTCGAGAAGTTGATACTTCAGTTATTCTTGCCAGAATTCTCCAGACGCAATCCAAAGGTATACTCTTTATATTAAAGCTCAGATTTTGGCACTCTGAGGATATCGCATCGCGTTATGAGTTCAATTGAACAACTTTGGATGGTTTTGTTAGCACAATAAGAATTATTGATGTGAATATATGGTGATTGTCTTTTAGGGAAATAAATGACTTGATTTTTTCCTTCTGTTTGCTGTGTAATTTTTTGGTTGTTGTTTATTAAGGAGAATGAGATGCGATTCGCAGATGAAAAGAAGCTCTATGTTCCACGCGTGGAGGATATGAATCGAAACATGCGAATGTTGAACATCTCGAGCACTAAGGACTTGATTGCTAATTCAATGAACATTTTAGAACCGTGCCTGGTTGATTCTGAGGGAAATGAACGCGAAGATGGTAACCTGTGCTTCTATTCCAAATTAAAGCAATTCACCTTCTCTGTTTTCATTTAAGATGTTAGCTGTAGTTTTAAAAAAATCCAAATCATTTCCATCTATTTCCGATGAAGCCAAAGATTCACTATTTTTTGGGCTTTGAGTATTGATGGAATAAAACAAAATGGCTCTTTTAACTGTCCATGTGTTTTTTAATAGTGAAGTAGCAGTCAGCCAATGCAACTTGCGACGCTCATCACATGTCATCATCCGAAAACAACTGCTCTATGTCTTAAACATAACGGATCCCCCTTACCCCGCAATGGGCGGGAGCCTTTGAGGCACTGAGATAATGTTGTTGTACTCAACTTGGGTGATAGAATATACCGACTATATTGTAATTAAAGTTTCCTTTTGCAGTGTTGTTGGCCAATGAACCTGTTGACTTGTTTCTTTTACCTGGTAAAGTGCCTTCTCTAATGATGGATATGTTGAATTTACATTATCTTGTCTAACTTCTAAATATTCTTCTTCCATTTTCTGCAACTGCGGAAGGACTTGGATTCGATAACTTTGGAAGGCGTTTGGGCCGTGGCGGAGGGTATGATTAAGATGTTGCCCTATACATTGCTTCAATACTTAGTTGCCATTGATTTAAGTTAGACATTTAGTTTATTCATAGGTTCTAATTAGTTTCTCAGCTATCTAAATCTGTGGTTTCTATCTCTTTTTTTCTTCTTTTCGGAATGGCAATAATAAATGAAGCTACTACGACACTTTCTTGACAAAATATCAAGAGCTCGCCAAGGAGCGAAAGTGGAAGCAGCCTCTCAAGAGTATGTCACCTTATTTCTTTCCCTCCCTCGCTCTCTCTCCTGAGAAATAGAGTTACTAAATTAGGTGAAAAAAAGAAACTAAACTTGGTTGTTTGGATTTGCAGTAGCTCTATCATACTCTGTGCAGATAGTGGATAACATACCAGTTACTCCAGATGATGTTCTTGTGGATGCACTAATAACACCCTCTGGAGTTCTTCCTATCAGTCAAACTGCACAGCAATTTTGCCTTTAAATAAAACACTTTTCTTTTATCTGCTTTGGCATTTAAACCAGAAACCTGTGGTCCTGAATAAATTGGTGTCATGTTATCCCATATACCTGTAACCTTCCATTGCATAACCTTATGATCACAGCATTAAATGCACTCATTACACTGTAATAATACTATGCTTTTAGCCTTCTCCATGGGTTGTTTTGTGCACTCCTAACTGTCCCAAATCCCAAGCATTTGCAGTGCCAGCCATCAGGCCGTGTTTGGTCGCCTGGGTTGTAGTCTTGCAATGCTAAGTGCCTGATTCCACTTAGAATCTCAATCAATCCCTCTCTAGGGCTTTATTATATGAAGAGTGCTAGGGGGATCCCAAGATTTTGACACTAAATGCACACCCGGACATTTAATGTCTGTGTGTACACATATATTAAATGTCTGGGGGTGTGTGTATTGGTCTTAGTGTACATTTGGTGTCAAAATCTTGGGGTCCCCGAGCATTTTTGTTAGTATATAGGCAGCAAGATTCGTAGGTACATTTTAGTCGATCTCGTGTTTAACAAGACTAATACACACTGTCAAGATTGGAAAACAATAATGATTTGATTCAATTATAAAATGAATTTGCTATATAACAGATACAGAGCCGGCGGGGGAAATGACCACACCATGCTTTTCTTGACCCAGGAAAAAACCAAATGTACATACAAACTACGGACAAATGGCGCACATATGTTAGAACAACAGCAGCATGCGAGTAATGCTCTATATCTTCTTCTCAAAAAAATTAAGGGGGTTTCAGAGAAACTGAAATGGTGGGGGTGGGATTGTGAGGCATCAGTCAGCTCTATGTACAGTGGTCTTGAACAAGAGCACATAAAGCTTAGGATCCATGGAGAAATATATGAAACCACCCACTGAATGCGTAACAAAAGACCCAAAACTTTTACCAACTATGCAGTGCCAGGCTGGTCCATATACCCCATCGAATTCCTGCAGCAATCCCACTCACATTATTAGCTCTACTGCATTTACACATTTACCCCCCCTCCTCCCCCTTCCCACCTCCTTGTTCATTTACCCCCACTCTGTAAAGTCTATTCCCCCCTTCCCCTGTTCCCTAACATCTCTATCACTTGTTACTTGTCACAATACTAATTTCTTCTGTATTCACAGATTTTCCCCCTATCTTTCTTGTTTCACAGAATTTTTTTAAAAAAAAATGTTAGAAAAACAGGAAAAAGTGTGTTCCTAATTTGTTTTTAGAGGGGATAATGTCAAGAGAACTGCACATTCCTTGACTAAAAAGTAAAAAGATAATGCGAAAAAGTTATTTTCAAATGTAAATCTCATAATAACACTTTTATTTGTGATGCTAAACTCTCTTGGCTTACTTGTGTTCTAGGAATGCTAAGCTGTCATTGAGATTTAATTTGTTTCAAGGGAGAAGTAACACCTTGTTGGGTTTTGATGGGTTGGTTAATTACCTTTTTGAGAGAGAAAGCAAGGGCCTTGGAAGTGAACTTTTCTAAGCTATCAAAAACCTTTCTTGCACAACCCACAGCATGAATCTGCATAAATGGAGGCATGTCTACAGCAACAACCTTGGCGCTATTGCAAGACAAGAAATCTGCCAGCTCAATCTCCGAGCTGGAGAATGACCTTCTCCGCCCTCCTCCACCGCCGCCCGTTTCTTGCGACTGGGACGGTCGTCTCTTCTCCGCCCCCTCGTAATCGTCCACCGCCGCCTTCGCATCTGGATCGGCTGAACTTTTCTTGGTTTCATCGCCTCCTCCGCCACTGCCGCTTTTCTGGATTATAAAGTCCGGGTCTTGTTCTTTGTGGGATTTCTTCTTGATTGGCTGCGAATTTGCGCCGCCGTGCTGTTGGCTCTTTGACTTGGTCAGAGCTGCCGGGCAAGAAGAGTCAACGAGACGGCCATCCTTTAAGGACGCTTTTGAGAGGAGGTGTTTGTGATTGGAGTAGAGATTGGAGAAGTGCCGGGAGATTGAGCGGATGGTGGTGGAGGGGCGGGTGGGATCTGGGTTGGGGTGGCGGTGGCCGGCGGCGGTGGAGGAGGAGGAGATGGGTTGTTGCAGGCTATTCGGGGTGGGATCCACGGATGCTGCTGCTAAGTTGCGCCTGTGACTTGCCATCTTTTTTGTGGGGATAAGTTAAACAAGTAAAACAACAGAAAACGAGATAAAGAGAGAGAGAGAGAGAGCGCGGGGCAGAGAGAGAGAGAGTTGAACCAGAGCATTTGTGCGAGACAGGTTTTTTTATTTGAGATTTTGAGTCTCCTACCGTACGAGTCAAAAAATCCTTTTGATTTATTTCTTGAAATATGTGGACTAAATAACACTGAAACTTAAGTTATTTTCTCAAAAAGCACTTAATTTGTTTTATTTCCTAAATAACATTTAATAATCACTTAATAATGTTTATAATATCTTGTGATGACGAACATTTACTTGAATAATGATTAATAGTGCTACATTGAAAAAAACACATGTAGTGTTATTTAAGAAAAGTTATAATGTTTTACTGTTATTTACGTAAAATTTGAAAGTTCTAAACAAAGTAAATTGAAAAAAATAGATGGAATGCAAGTATCATTTTCTAATGCAATAATAATAATATTAATAATGTCTTGCCGTTGTAAATGAGACAAAGAAACACGGCAATGGCTTGGGGATCCATAGTTAATCAATACTCCCTCCGTTCTATAACACACTTCTCTTTTAATTTTTTGCGCAATCCGTAAAATACTTCTACCCCACCTAAAATGTCTAAAATACCCCTAAAACAACTTCTACCCGCAATAAACTACATAGTGGGGTATATTTTAGATATTTTAGGTGGGAGTAAAAGCGTTTAATGAGGTGCGCCAAAATTTAGGGCGGAAGGATTTTAAGGAACGGAGAAAGTAATAATCTTTTCTCTCATTTTGATTACAAATTACAAAAAAAATATCTTGGATTAATTGTGTTATAAATTTAATATTAATAGTTTATTTTAAAACATAGTTTAAAAATATTACTCCGTATATTTTTATAATCTAAATTTGTACTCCATATGTAATTAGAAATCTTAATGGTTAAAATGTTAAATTAAATACCGTGGAAAAGTTAAATCGTAAAAGAAGAGGTGAACAAAGTAATACTCCCTAATACGTTAATAGCTAAGCAATTACTCCCTCCGTCCTATAATGTTCTTCCCGGTTCACTTTACAAAGTTTGACCGATTTTATTTTCAATTCAATTTATTTGATTGTAGATGTAAAATTAAAAAATAAAATTTATATATTTAAAAACTACATAAAAAGTTCTACAAAACAAGTGGTGACAAGATTATATTATTTTATCAAATACTTAATGAAAATAGGTAAAGAAAGTGATAAAAGTTTGACCGTGTAAAAGTAGCACCGAGCAAGTACATAGCTAGGGATGGAGTCCTAGGTATATAGTAGCTTGCAAGGTACATTATATATAAATCAATTGTCTCATAAACATACTACGGAGTACTATATGCTTAGCTTGATATATGATTCAATATAAAGGAAGGAATTGAAGCTAATTGATAATTGAGTGATGGATGGATCGATGAGATAATCAGTAGTAGAAAGGCTCCTCGGAGAGGACATCGGGGAAATCCAACAACAACAGCATGTTCTCTTCTTCCCGAGACAGCATTGCTTCCACAAATGACGAGGACGATGAAGAAGACGCAGCAGCAGCTTCAAGATGATCGACGACGTCGTTTAATGATGATGAATTAGTCCTCCCTCCCTCGTGATCATGCTCTCCCTGTGGCTCTTGTGGGCCCCCGCCCGGCAAGAATGCATCTTCAAGCAGGAAATCACACCAGCTGAAACCCGCTGCCGGCGATGAACTGTTCATGCAGTCATCATTCCTCACCATCTCTTCTTCTTCTTCATGATTATTATTATTCCCGCTGCTAGCGGGTAACAAAACAGGGGGTTGGAGGGAGGAAGACGACGAGAGCGAAGAAGACGGAGTGGGACGACCGGGAACCGAGTAATTCGCAATCGATTTGATCGCTTGGAGCTCCGACAGGAGGTCGGTATAGTTGCCCCCGTTATTACCGTCCCCAAGCGGCGGTTCTGTGTAATTATTGCTCATTATTGTTGTCTTGAGTGTGGCTTTAAAGTGGGGGGGCTGCAGCTGGGGGGCGGGGGAGGAATCATCGCATGACGGAGAGAATCCCCCGCCGCCGCCGCCGCCAGGTGGTGCAACGTTTCCCATGTAGTCGGAGAGTATTTGAGAGAAGGGCTTGTGGGTGACGGGGTCGATCCCCATAGCAGTCAACTTCTTCTTCAGCTTTGTGTTCCACACGTTCTTCACCTCCCCCTCCCCTCTCCCCGGCAACTGTTGTGCTATTATTGTCCACCTGAATTTTATTCCCAACACAACAATTTAATAATATACATACCTCATCTTGTTTTTGGTATGATATATATATATATATATATATATATATATATATATATAAAATAGTACATCAAATACATATATGACCGGGCGCGCGCACCTGGCACCGATGGTGGCGTGAAGCTTGATGAGGAGTTCCTCTTCTTGCGGGGTGAAGTTGTCGCGCCGATCGATTTCCTGTCGTCGCGACTGGTTACTCAACCGCGGCCTGCTACTCCTCTCCACCCTCCTCATTCCTTAATTACACAAAAAAATTAATCAATCCGCATTCAATCAAACACAAGGATATAAAGAATGTATGTTCACAAGATCGGCGCGCGCGCGCACACACACACATGTGTGTGTGAATGTACCTGGAGTGGTAGTATTAGCAGCAGCTGTTGTTTTCTTGGCAATGGGGGTCCAGTTAAAAGACTTGTTCCTTGAAACAAGAGATCCCCCTCCAGTTCTCTGTTTTTCCTTTTCTTCATAATCGTAGCAGCCACCCCAAAATGACCTCCTCCTTGATGAGGGCTGCAACTTCTCTGTGTACCCATTATTATAATTAGTAGGCCTTCCCATTTATGTTTTTTTTTTTAAAAAAAATATTTCTTGAAACTAATTAATAGGGAGTGACGATGGGAATGAAGAGTTAGTGTAATGTAAGTGGATATATTTATAATAATAGGATAACTAATTCAGAGCTTAGTGGAGCTAGCTAGGCAAGGAAAGCATGATAATAATTAGTCAGATTAAACTAAACTAGCTAGGTAGCAAGGTGGAATGCATCATCAGCTGCAACATAAAAGATTGGTGAAAATGATAAAGAATAATTGACGTAGTTTATAGAACAGGTTTAGTTTGGGTGAATTATTTGGTTAGCCATAGATTTATTATTGTCTATTTAACTAAGTAAAGAGTATTGTTGATGAAATATAATAATGATTTATATTTGTACACATAAAAGAAATGGGAGCTGTCACAAGTTTGACAAGCCTAATTAGTTACAATAAACAAATTAAAGATTAATAATTCATTTAATGTATCCCCTCATTCATTTGACGTTTTCTTACCGCAACCTTTTAGGAAAAAAATCAATTCTACATTGTTTCGAGTCAATGTATCATCACACAAAAAAAGAGTGAACTCCAAATGTACATCACCCCTTTCTCCACCATACATTTTTATTAGATTTTTATTTATTTAGTTATTTGTAAATTTCTTACCAATTTATGTGGACAAGTGATAAAATTTGGAATGGGTATGGACAACTGAATTGAGTAATAAGACACTTGGGCTGAACCACATTAAAAGATTGAATCCAATCGATTAGTTAGTTCAACTCAAGAACTTATATACCGATTATTTTTCTCACACTTTTCCGATGTGGGATACTCTTAACACTCTCCCTCAAGTGGACAACCGGGCCATTTTGAATCTAACCGGTTGACCACTTGCAAATGAACTCTCATTCCCTTGACTTTCTTTTTTTGAGCGTCAACACCTTAAGGGCCACGAGCCGCTGGGTATGGACTTCCAGACGAGCAATCGTATTAATCGGGCCACGGGCCGTTGGGTACATACTCCATACGGAACACTGGGCTAAAAACTAACGGACCGCTAGAAATGAACGTCTAGACAGACACCTTGACAAACGAGGTGGGCCAAAACCTGCTCTGATACCATGATAAAATTTGGGATGTGTATGGACAACTGGATTGGGTAATAAGACACTTGAGCTGAACCAAATTAAAAGATTGAATCCAATCGATCAGTTAGTTCAACTCAAGAACTTATATACCGATTATTTTTTCTCACACTTTTCTGATGTGGGATACTCTTAACAACAAGGAGGGGTGGGAGACATATGGGATACACCTACCCCTATCATTTTTCAAACACACTACTGCCCCAACAAATTAAAGTTTAACTACTAGTGGGTACGTAGTCTATCAAAACGTTGCAAAGCAACAAAGATAAATAGGTGATTTGATATGATTCAAAATTTAATTAATTAGTTTTAGCTAATTTGGAAGTAGATCTATTTGATACCGAGTAATATTTATATAAAATGTTCAATTGGATTAAAATGATAAGATACGTTGACATGAATGAAGTTTAATAAATTCGAAATTGGACGGACTGAAAAAAAATGTTTTTGGTATTTTTTTATGATGTTATATTTCTATGTTTTTCAAGTTCATACGCGAAATGTTGACTTTCGTACACTTTTTTTGCTAACATTAATTAGATCTCTTATTTTTTTCAAAATAACATAATTCATTCATGTTATTTATCTTGAAATAAATATCTTTTTTAATTCGTGCAAACTCCTAACCATATTTTACTGATTTGTATATTTTCTACGACTCAGACGAAAAGAAAAACGTATAAGAACCAAACACACCCGGGAGGGCGTATTGTCGGAAAAGACACAATCAATAAGGTGTCGTCGGTGGTCAACCCCAACATGCCCGTGGACCACAAATTTCGGATTTTAAAAAAACTCGGAAGTGAAGGGCAACTATAAAATAATTGACCATTATCCCCCAACATTTTTTAAGGATCTGCAAACTTATTAGGACCATACTGCACTTACACCAACAAATATATCCCATTTGTATACCATAGGTTTGCACAAATCTTTCGATGGTTTACACCGACACAAGTGTTGGTGCGTTAATAAAAATTCACACGGACACAAATGTTGGTGCGTTTAACAAAAATTAGTTTTACACCAACACAAAATGTTGGTGCAAAACTGCGGGGTACAAATTGGGGTACAAATCTTGGGGCACACATAGCATAATCCAACTTATTATTATTATCTACTCTTCTAAATTAGTTGTATGTGTGATTTACAGAATCAATTTTATTCACTTGATTTACTTTTTTTTGCAATTTATTTGATTGAATAATATACTGATATTACTCTTTGTTTTGTAAAAGTGTTGATATAATTTTTGAATACGTAAATTTACTTTTTTAATTCTACCTCAATTCTCAAATAAATTAATTTCAAAATTATGCTACACTTACACTAAAAATATATCTCAAAATTATACAAAAAATTTACATTAATATTTTGATGATTCACACTGACACAAAATGTAACTGTAATTTAAAAAAATTTACAGTAACATTTTGTGCTTGTATCAACCATCACTATGGCTCAAAACGAAAATACAAATTAGGATTTTTTTTTACAAAGCAAAACGTAGTAAAACTCTAATGTCCCGGAGAGGGGAGCACTAAAGGCCCAATAACACATGGACAGTAAAAAACGATAATTAAGCGGCAGCCCGCTGCCCATGCATAGATAAGAGTCGGCCCAAATGAGAGCTGAGAAAGGGGCACGTGTCATCTTCGTCACTGACCGCGGATGCACACGTGGGCAAGCAAGCGAGTGTCTGCTGGCGTTAAGAAGAACACAGGAGCTCCAGCATGAATGTCGTCGAAACAAAGAGGAACAAAAATGGCGGGGGAAGGACATGATGAATCTAATAACACAAGAAGAGGCGATCCCACTGTACAAGTGCAGGTGAATTTCAACTTTCTTTTTCCCTGTTTTGTTTTACAGAGTACTATGTATAATTATATATTTATGAACTTCATCGTCACCAGTCTGGTTCTTGGGTGCTGATGCAGGAACGAGGTGAAATTTTCTTCTTTTTCCGGCCGAAAGTCGGCAAGGAAGAAGCCCAAGGCCTGGACGACGTGCAGCGGTTCTACATCGTTCTCCGGCCGGAATCAGGTGAGAAAGATGTGGAAGTGAAGCAAGAATATAGCTCCGGGAAAGAAGGAGCGGAGCTAGGTGCACGCACCGGCGAGAACGGACTGACTCGCGAAATCACCTCGGAGAAGCGGGACGAGTCCCGTGTGGAAGGCGGACGGGGGTGCGCAGAAATCAACATAGGAAAACAGCAGCTTCTCCGGTTGATTGTCATGGGGAGGAAGGGCCTGCCGGACCCCACAAAGAATTCCGGCAATCACCGTTCGCACTGGGGTTTCGTGGAGATGGTGACGACTAAAACAGAGGACGTGAGAGCGGCGCTGAAGGGCGAGGAGTATGACACTTCCACCAGAGGTCACCGGAGGGTTGGGCCGGCGAGGGCAGCCGGAGAGGGAGTTTACCTGATCCTGAGGCATAATCCGGGGAAGAAAATGCACACCCATCTGCTGTACAAGCTTGAACTCCCGGCGGAGGACGAGAGAAATGAGCCCCAAGAGGAGCTTAACATAAAGAGAGAAGCTTCGTTTCTGATACAGATCAAGAACCCCGAACAGAGCCAGGGCGGTGGGGACGGGAGGATGAGTGGATTGCAGAGGAAGAGGAGGGCCGTTTATCCAGCCCATCTCCAGGCGGAGATGGGGCAGCTGAGGTACACTCCGGCAAACCTGCCAGACTACTTGAACTACGAAGGGTGTGAGTTTCTGCTGATTCCAGCCTCAGATAACATCGGCGAGGAGCTCGGACCTGATATCAAGTCGGAAGTGGATGCGGATGGGGCCCACAACTGCTCCGATTTGATCGGTAACACTTTCCCGGAGACCGCCACCATCACTCCCCTCCTCAAAGGCACTTGGGCTTAACCAAAATGCTTGAATAACACTTAGCTTTGATTTTACCAATGACAATAGTTTGTAAATTTTCAGACACTTGTCATCGTGGTCTTGGTGTTATTGGGCTTAATACTAGTAGTAGTAGTAGTAATCTAGGTCTATCACTAATGGAACTAGTCTTCTTGTACACAAGAAAGAAAGCCTATCCTTGTAAAGTCAAATAAGGAGATCTTTGGTATAATACCTGAATGAAACTTTTGTATAGTACTGATCTCTTACATGTTTTATTATTTTGTGTTTTCTGCTCAACACGCCAAGAGAAAACAAAGAAACAACAACAACATTACCCACTTTCTTGGAAACTCCGGAGAGAGGGTTGCCTGGGAAGGAGGAGGAGGAGGGCCGCCATGCGTGGTAGGAACGGGAACATCACTGGTGCTTCCCTTTGAGCAGCTATACTTGCACCGACTAGGTGGGACAACCCTGTAAACGCCGCTGCTGGCTAATACATAAACGTCCTTGTTGTTATCTTCTCCGAATGAAAAAACGTAACCCAGTGCAGGGTGCGAAGAGCTTCCCGGGACGAGGCTACAGTTCAATGGCGAATCATGAGAGCACGCGAAGGATAGCAGGGTGGTGTTGAAAACTCCACTGTTCTCTGGATTTTCGGTCCCTGCCCATATAGCACTGCCGTAAAGATCAGCAAACAAATACCTGCAAATAACATCCATTGGCAGTTCAATATAGTTCTCATGATTCTTTGGTGAAACTGAGTTTCAAGGAGTGTATATGGGAATGGGTTAAGCTCTAACCTTCCATACATACAAGGATCGGTGAGGGAGCGATAGAAGTATCCGCCTACGATTGATGCAGACCCTTCATTCTTATTCACATCACTGTGATTGTATCCCATCACTGGGAAAATTGGGTTTATGGAGTCTGCAGATGCGTTCTTCCTCCCTGAGGATGGAGGAGTAAAGAGAAAGGGGCCTTCGTACACGTGCCAGCCGTAGTTCCCACCCTTTGTGATTATATCTACTTCTTCATAATGGTCCTATGAGTACAAATCCAAATGGGGGACAAAGAAGTAAAACGAATTCTAAAATCTACTGAATGAATGTTCTTTCTCTGGAAAAAAAGATTTGGTTTTGGATAGATGTATCAGAAGCGGATACCTTCCCAACATCGCCACACATGAAATAGGATGGCCTTGCAGAATCAAAACTGCAACGCCATGGATTTTGCAATCCAAGGGCCCATATTTCTGGCTGCAGTTTTTTATCTTCCAGGTAAGGATTATCCTTGGGGATAGAGTAGTTCCCCCATAGACGTTGCCGGGCAACTTCTGTTGCACCTAGAAAGGGTAACAAATGTATAGATAAGAGTAGTAGTAGCTCAAAGCTTTATATGCTTGTTTGAGTTTTTTGTTCCAATTGGGATGAATTTACCCAAAGGATGACGTTGGGGTGCCAATACTAACTTACTTGGGATGTTATCGATATCAAGCCTCAAGATCTTTCCGAGCAGTGATTTTTTGTTTTGTGCAAAACCGTAACGATCAGAGGAAGACGAACCTCCCCCGTCACCCATCATGAAGTACAAATATCCATCTGCAGGTCCGAAAAGAATCTGGCCTGCATGATGAGCAGTGAACGGAAGACCCATTGTAAATATCCTTCTGACTTCTCCTGCACTGGCACTTTTCGCCTGAAAACAAACCCAAACTCCATTGTGATGGTTGAAAAGAAACGTGGGGTAGAAACACGACTTTCTTGACCCATTAATAACACACTCCTACCTCAGAAGGATGAGACGGGGCAGTTGTCCCGTTGGCAGTGAATTCCGCCACTACAGCTTGATATCGGCATGGTTGGGCCCCACTATCACGAGGCAGCTTTGAAGGGTCGCATTTGAGATCTGAGTTACAGGCACACCTCCCGGCACATCCAGGCCATTGTTGCTTATCACAATTGAATGAAGCAAAGAATCGTCCGTTCTGCGTAAACTTGGGATGAAATGCAATGCTCATCAAACCAAACTGAGTGTCGAAGTGAACTTCATCGCTTAGATCAACAAATGGACTGCTTTCGTCAAGCTCCAATGATCCTCCCTTGCCAACCTTGTTAAAAAAACAAACTCCTACTTTTATTGATTTGAGTATCCCTCATAACTTCATAATTTCTAAAGAGTGACAAACCTCAGGTATGGTAGCTAGCCAAATTTTCCCTTGCTGGTTTGAGAAAAAAGCACGACTGGAACCATCAGGATGAGCTGCCATGTTCAGGTAAGCACCACTTCCTATTTTCTCAAGGCACAGACCGGATGGAGGGCTCATGGGAACAGTGCTATTTAAGGTGATAGGTTCACCATCATAGCAAACAGATCCATCAAGGGATGACCCACCAAACGCGTTACAAAAATCTGCTTCAGACTGCCAGATATCTATTAGTTTGGTAATGTTGGACTTTACAGGTGCGGGAACTTGACCCTTTAAGGAGGAAGCAAAGATTGAGTTCGTTATGGATGCTTTTTCGCAAGTTCTCCACACTTTTGAGCAGAAGCTGTTTGTTTCTTGGGTGGTTCCATTAGAGATTGAAGAAGCCGTTGAGTTGCAAAGCACCGGAACTTGTCTAGGAACAGAACTAATTCTGTAAAGCTCTGCCGAAAATTTATCACATTCCTAAAAAAAGTGTCGACGTGAGGAGCCAATTACTGTGCAGAAAAAATTGCATTCCATGGCAAATGCAAGTGCTTTCTAAAGGTTAAAAGAAAAGGTAATGAATCAAAGATGCATTTTTTTGCAAAGAAATTATATTCTTACAGCACAAAGAACAGATTTGAGAAGAGAAGCACAGGGAGAGTCGGAGATGTTCATGAGTTGAAAGTGCTTCTGGATGCGGGAGTCATCAGCAAGGTTGCAGCAAGAAGTTCCATCGTAAGGGCAGAATTTCAAAGGATCCTTATGGCGTAGGGGGGCTTCTGTAGCACAATAAGAAAAACAAAAGACTCACATAAGATAGAAGAAGCCAAAGATCAGCGTTATAGACATCCATATGAAACCGCAAAAGAGTAAATTAACCAACTTCTTGCCTGAATTTGTGCATAAAGGAAGTGAAAAGGCAGGGGCAAGAAGCTGGAGAACGTTGAGAAAGAGATATAAGACGATGAAGTGACGACTTCCTCCCATCAGAACAAACTGAGAAACCAAAGTCCAAAGAAGCATTAAACAAAAAGATGTACTCCACTTGTTAAAAAGATTAGAACATGAAAGGGATCATACATTCTTCAGCGGCAAAAACACAAACACCTAGCAGGCAACAAACCTCATAAAAGAGTTGAATTGAACTACTCTCGGATCATAAATGCAAAATGACATTTGAATATTTCAGTTGTCAGCTGGGTTTCGGACACCAAGTGGGCAGTGAACATAGTTGACTTATCCATTGGCATAAACAATTTCTTGGCTCAACAATACTGTGGGTGGTGGGGTCCGCGTCCTGCCCATTGTCACTTTCTTTCTCATTTTCCTCGGCAAAGCTCTGACCTTTGAGAAAAGAAGTGAAGTAACCCATTTTGAATGGATGCGTGAAACGGCGGCTGGAGGATGAGCGAAGCAGACATTTCTGTTAAGTTCACTTTTTCTGTTTTGCAGCTGTACAAAGATGGCGAGCCAGTTGCAAAGTATGGAGTCTTAGTTGTATATTTGTTCTCTCCTACAAAAAGAAATTATTTCCCTTTTTCAAGTGGTTCAATTTTTATTTGTGTGTGTTCTGAATTACGAAGTAATTTTTTTAAACAAAGTACACCGATTACGTTTCAGAAAACCTAACACCGTTCGTATAGGAGAGGTGGTGATGCGAGTGAACATCCACGGTGTAATTATTTTTTACTCACGTCAAAGTGTTACAATGATATATAAAGAAAATCCAAGCACGAAGGCAATTACAAAAAGAGGAGAAGATGAAGACTAAAAGTTGTGTGACTTTAAGTGACTGTCACTACTCGTCCTGGAGGACGAATTCGAGTCCTACTCGATATGTGTTGTCTTGACCAAACTAGCCCTTGTTCGTATGGTGTTCAGTGTGGCCCGACCCAATTTTGGGTCTCGATTTCTCTAGATGTTATTAGGCTTTGACCTATCGGGCTGAACCTTGTTCGTGCCATACAGACGGTTGGGCCAATATTCCAACACACACTTCAGAGTCATCTCCAATGACACAATTTTACTTTCTTGATTTTGTGACCAATTTTCTAACGACGCTAGCATGAATTACACAAATTTGCTACTAGAAGAGGTAAGAGTTACGATGAAAACAGATACGATGACAACAAGTGGGGTAAGAACTATGGAGTATTCCGTATGTATTCCGTATTCATGTTAGAATTGTATTTTGATACGGAGTAATATTTTTATTGGATCGCTACGTATTATTTGTATCGGTTTTAGCAATTCTTTTATCCGCATTCACCTTTAAATAAAAAAAATTAATAGTTCTTAGTCGCCCTCGGGTAATATACTTACATCCCTACTTACCAGAGTTACCACCACCAACTATAATCAACCACAAACTAGTTCTTAAATCATTCAAAAGACAATCCAATTTTGAGATGCTCAGTTGTCCTATATAACTGTTTCACACACAGCTCACACAATCAATGTGGGGATCCCTTAGAAAAGAAACTTATACTAAACCCATTTCGCAACAAAATGGATGCTAGGGACAGCAAAATTAACATGAATATTTTTATACAACCAAACAATTAACATAACAGCGACTTTCAGTGTAATGGAGCAAAAAATACTACTCGTAGTAAAACAAACTTTTAATTCAAATTGTTTGCAAGTTAAAACAAAAGTATTCCTTGAATAAATTAAACTGAAGTACATTTGTACTGTGACCGGGTAAAGCAGATAGCCAACCACACAATAGAATGAACAATTAGAAAATCCAAACACCTCCCTCCCACACCAATAGGGACATATAACCAGACAGCAAGTCACCGCCTAGGGGGGCTCATTTACCATCAAGAGCACCGAGAGCTTTCATGTCCTCCAAGAATGCCATGTACGAGTCGTCAATACTTTGTGGCTTAGGCTGAGCCACACTGCTACGTTCTTGCTTCACTGCTGCTCTACTAAATGTGGGCTGGTTCACTACAACTGTTGTTGATCCCTTCGGTTTTGGTTTTGGTTGCGTAGATTCTCTCTTCACACGTACAGATGCAGGAACCTGCAAAAGTATTCATCCAAGATATTAAGAGCCCGTTTGGTGAGGGTGAATTTGGATGAAGTTGCTAAAATCGTTTCAAAACTTTGATATTTAAATTATATCTTATGGATGAAACAGAGGGAAAAAATTTAAAGGGAAGTAAAAAAATTGTCCCAAAAGTGCCTTCAACCGTACTTTTATTCATTATAACAAATTCAATGTCAGTCATATAAAATATTGTTTTTAAAAAATGGCCAAAAGGATGGCTATCTAACAGTCACCCAGATAAATTTTATATAAAAGGATGTCAGGACATAGAGAATAGTTCAAAGTAGTTTGATTCACCATAGCAGTTAGCTCTGGAGTATGCTGAGCAAGAGGCCTCTTAACAACTGTTGATGCGGCTGACTTAATGTAGGAAGGTTTTTGAGAGGCGAGTGGTCTAGTAGTACCATCATAGGGTGGCATTGGAGGAGGCCCAGGTGGAAGGGGTGGTCTCATCATTAGTGGTGGTCCATAGGGCGGTCTAGGAATAAGTGGAACAACCATTACTCCAGGGGGGAGAGGAGGATGCTGACCAACTATTCCATGTGGTGGCAGCCCCATCTCTGTGGGTGGAGGAGGTGGAGGGAACCGAGATATTCCAGGTGGCAATACATCAGGCTGCAAAGATGGGATCAAAGCAGGTCCAGGAACAAAAGGTTGTTGTTGCCTTGGTGGAGGTGGTGGCGGAGCCATTCTTAGCATATCATCTGTCCCTGTTGGAGGTTTAGAGTCGTTTTCAGAAGACGTCCCCTCAGACTTCAATGGTAACCTAGGTGGTGGAGGGGGTGGGGCCAGTATAGATGAACCCTGGAACAGAAAATTAGGAAGAAAAATTAATCAAAATTGAGTCCACAGGCAACAATTTATACGATTAAACAATCAAGTGGGATGCAAAGTCATTTATTAATATAAATCATACGGTGAAAAGCCGAACAAATCGGATCCAACGTCTAATAGAATATAGAAATGGCCCACTATGGAGTCCTCTGAGTGCATGCACAAAGAAAACAAACTATGTGCTGCAAAGTCAATTAGCAGGGCCAAATATGATGTGCAAAGACCATTTTATCATGTACTCCCTCCGTTTTACAAAACACTTCCACCCTAATTTTTTGTGCATCCCTCAAACACTTCTACCCCACTTAAAATGACTAAAATACACTTTCATTTCGTAGTTAATTGTAAGTAGAAGTTGTTTTGAAAATATTTTAGACATTTTAGGTGGCGTAGAAGTGTTTTATGGGGTGCGCGAAAAATTAGGACGGAAGTGTTTTGTGAAATGGAGGGAGTATGATTCGTGTCAATGCAATTGTAGAATCACACACCATGAAACCTACCTGTGGTGATTCCATAGATGCTGGTTCTTCAGTTTTCACAGTGTAACCTTTTCCAAGTTCATTTCCACCAATACCTGGTGGAGGAGATAGAACAGACTGGTGAACTGGCGGTGGCGGCGGTGGTGGGGGCAGTGATGAACGAATTCCTGCATGTTCATTGGGTGGGGGGCCAGAAGGCGGTGGTGGCAAAGGAGGAGGTGGCAACGATGTATCCAAGTTTGTCATTTCAGGTTTTGGAGGCATAGGAGGTGGAGGGGGTAAAGGCAGAGATGGAGGCATCATAGAACCATCTACAGGATCTGCATTATTGTTTGGGTAAGGAAGTGCAAGTGGTGAAGTGGATGGAAGAGAGGAGGTGGGCAAACCACCATCCTCTTCTGGCATAGATGATGATGCAGCACCACTTGATGACGCCTCTGACATGGGTATTCTAGGCCCTGCAAAACAAAATGTGTCAGATTGTGGGAGTGGGGACCAACCTATATGAGACAAAATGAACTACTGCATACCTATTGATGATTTAAACATGGGAGGCTTTCCAGGAGGAGGAGCTCCAGTGGGGTTGAGTGTTGGATGGTAATAAACTGAATCCTGCATCCAGATTTACTCACAACTGTGATACATTCTTGAGAAAACTAATATGGTTAAACCATGCGTACCAGATGGGAAACAAATGAGAGCTTACCTCAGGTTTTGGATGCTTGACCATATCTTCCTCTTCTGCTGTAGTCCGCCTTCGAGGAGGAGGTCCCAAATGGCTGCAGCACAGAAATGATGATACATTTTCTTTACTCACAGCAAACAAGCGCAAAGGAATGCAACATTATCCTCACAAAGTCACAACAAATAAATAACAGAAAAATGGCTGCTTCACCTGAACATAACTGGTGCTTCACCCTTTTCTTTCACTTTATCTTCATATTCCTGCCACAGGTAAAATTTTCCATGACCAACATACTACTTTTCCAGTAGAAAATAGAGCAAACATGCAGCAATGAAGGTTAACCACTTAACCAACACAAGTAAAAGATAGGAGTCAGCTTCTTCTCTAATTTCCCTAAGCATAATGATAGTTTAATATCCCCACTCACACATGAGAGAGAGCTATGGTAGAACAAACATGGAGAACTATAGAACTGAGAACTTTTTCAAGGTACACGTGAGTAATGTAACTGAAACAGGCAATGAAGGTTGGCCAGCACAAGTAAAAGATATGAGTTTGATTTCTTTTCAAATTTCCCAAAGCATTTTGATAATTTAACATCCCCAGTTACACTCTTTTAGGGTGGGGGACTGGGGGTGGGCCGGTGGGGACATAATAGTTAAGAAAATGGACTATTCCAAAGAGATATAATGAAAACAATTCAATGGAACTTTGTTTGGGAACTTTGGAATGAGGGGGGAGGGGGAAGCTGTGGTGGCCTAAACTCAGACAACTATTGATCAGCTAAAAATTCATTCAAGGAGAGCAGTGCAAACGTAACTGAAACAGATTAATAGAATCGTCATTGTATTAATATAGAATAAGCATTATCTCAAGTTGTTTTAATGTACAATCATGGGATCCAATTGGGTTGTTGTTGTAAGCATTATCTCAAATTAATCCAAAACAAAGACAGAATTTTCTAGAAAGAGAGCTGTGTTCCAATAAATACTCAAAAAATGACTATATCAAGAATATTACCTTCCTCTTCTTGAGAACGAGATTTAGGGTATCCTCAAGCTGTCTCTTTTTGTGTTTTCTAGCTTTATCAAGGGCCCCTTCCGCCTCTGCACAATTGAATGCAAAACACAATAGTATTTTCATTACAATAGGTGAATTCTTTAAACACGATGGACGCTAAGGTATTCATATTTAAAGCATAAAATCATTGAAGATGGAAAGAATTCATTAAAAGACATATAGCTTTGTCTTTAGTACGATTGGTTTTGCTATCCAAAAGGGGGTTGTGGCGCAGCTTGTTGCCTGTTTACATGCCACTAGCGTGATTTTGTTATTAAAAAAATAATGTAAAAAAGTCACGAGAGGAAGACATGTGGGCCTCAGGAAGGGGGTGTCTTTGTCAAAATTCCAAATTCAATGCGTCGTCTCAAATGTTCAGCACTAAATTCTATTTTTCAAATGCCCACAAACTTAGTGCCACTATAGAATGACAATCACTAATATAGAACTAAACAGAAAAATCAAAGATCATCTTTATAACGAAGGTATATAAGTTTCCCCTCATCTAAAAAAGAAACAGACTAGAAACTTAAAAGTCTATTTCTAAGAAAGAGCAATCAGAAATGAAGATAACGACCTACTCCTAAACAAAATAGGACAAAGTGCTTTTGAACTATCAACAAAAGCCATAATATACATTTAAAAATATTATTCCAATACAATCTATCCCGAATAAGTCCACACTGAAGAATTAGAAGAAACAAACACAAGCAAACAGTGGCTTACTCATTACTTCTAGCTTCTGAATTTGATCTTTTATTTGCTCAGGATCCTTCTTCAAAATGCCAACTTCCCTCACCTTCTTCCTTTCTTTTTTATTCTGTAAATAAAACATCATTCTTGTTATAAGCTTCACATGTTTTCATACTGGTATACTACAAACAAACCCAAATAGAACAAGATCACAAGTCATATATCAATCCTTAAACATATGGAGAAGAATACCAATCAATGGGAATAAATATAACCCAGGCCTTAAAAAGTTATCCTTATGCAACTTTTAGCTAAGTGCAGACTATAACAATATTTTAAAACTTGTAATGAAATCAATTTAGAAACAACTGCATAATACGGTTAGAAGATTCTTTTTTTCAATATCACAAAAATCCAGATCTTTTGAGATGTTATGCTACATCCTAGAAATTTCTGGTTTCTGCTAAATTAGTAAATTTCCAAAGCATAATTTCATCACCAAATTTCATTTTAGCTGGGGAACAAAAAACGAAATTATAATCTATAATCCCTGAATTGGTGAAGATTATGGCAGGAAAACATACCCGTTTCAATTCGCGCTTGCGTAACTCCTTCCGATACGCGTCAGTAGGGTTCATGACTTTGCCACCCTTCGTCGTCTTCATCTCGCCGTCGACTTCTGAGCCCTAACTCTTCGCCGGTGAAGCAGACTCCCCCGAGCGTTATTCCTCTTCCCTGATTCGGTCGGTGAATGTATCTTCTTGCGCGAATCCTTTAAATGTTTCAGAAAGTAGATTTGAATTTCAAATTTGGATTTGATTCAAATTTTGTGTTTGGAAAACTTATATTTGAATTTGGATTTAAATCAAATTCTTCTCATTGATAACAAAGCTTAATTTTAAATTCACGAGTCTCTCCTTGTCATTTGAAATTTAAGATTTCAAATTTTGGAATTGAAATACATGAATTGAAATGAAATCTTAGTTGCCAAACACTATCTTATATACGGAGTAATTCGGATTAACTGTTCTCTTTGTTATTGTTGTTTACTAGAATTATTTTCAATTCAAGTCGTTTCAAATTAATATTAAATTAAAAAATAAAATTTATATATTAAAAAAATATATCAAAAATTCTACAATGACAAAAATATACTCCCTCCGTCCCAAAAAGATTTACATGTTTCAAAAAAATTGCGTCCCACAATCCCTTACCCATTTGTATTAAAAAACCACTTTTACTCCTTACTTTTTCAAACCCTGCCTATCACATCATACCATTTTCCTAATAATTTACACATCACATCATACTTTTACCCATCACATCAAGGATATTTTTGGAAAGTCAACACAAAATTATCGCTCCCTTAATTTCTACTTTAGTCAAAATGTACTCATCTTTATGGGACGGAGGGAGTATATTCTTTTTCCAAATGAATAGCAAAAATAAGCAAAAAATAATTAAAGTTTGACCTTGTATATATTAAACGAGCATCTTATATATAATCCATTATTATTGTTGTTGTTATTGGTATTATTATTATTAAGATATGACTAAATTCAAACCTTTTTGGCTGAATCCATTTTAAATGTTGAACAACTATATCCTTAGAAGTTGGATTACATTCAGTATTTTTTTTATTCTTAGGATAAAATTATCTTTTATCACAAATGGATAAATTAAACTATAATGAGTGTGGATTACAACTATTACTAGGGAGTATTAAAGTCATCATCATCTTGAAAGATTTATTATTACTTAGTGTAAGATAATCTTTATCATTATTATTATCATCATCATTAGAAAAGATGACGTGACTAATTTCAAATTTAGATATCTTACAAGAATTTGTCAAAAGTAACTATTGCATCGAAATACTCTCAAAATATTATACGGAGTATCATTATGTGAATGTTGAGATGATCGTTCTATCTCTCAAATATGGATTATTTTCTACGTCACAAAAATGATTTGAAGATAACAAATTTTATCCTCCATTACGTGTGAAACATCTATACTTACCTCTGTCTTAGAACATCCATCAAATTTAATTTTTTAATCGAAGTCAACAACCTTTAGTAATTAGTTAAATAAAGATTATATGGGATATATTAGTATAAAACAATTACCTTAGATTTAATTTGTGGAAAGCTATCAAAAAATATAATTTATTGTATTAATATGCAATGTAAATGTAATATAATTGATATTTAAAATTTGTCTAATTTAACTTGAAAAAATCTTAACAAAAGTTGACTTAAAATGCATTATGTAGTTGATTAAAAGTTTGTTCTCCTCAACCCATTCTTATTACTTATTACGTTTTCTTATTAAAATTAGTTCGGATAAAAAACAACTTTAAATAAAATCACATTCAAATCAGATTAGACTAAGTTAGGTGAAGAAAACAACTTGCTCCCTAAAAAAAAGCTAAGATCTAAACAGTAACATAAATAGAGTGAGCACACGAGGAAAAGATAGAGTGGGGCAGATGTTGAAGCGTGATGCACTGTGCCATTCATGTTACTATATCTCAACATGTAATCATAAATCATAATCACTCCCTGGAGTCACATATTATTGTTTTTTGGTAAGAGAAAAATATGGAAGCAACACAACATATAAAGAAAAATAGAACGGTGTGATTCAATTGCTATGCAACACTACTACTTCTACTACTACTATACGTATGAATTAATCAAAAACCACATACATCATACTCCCCGGACCAGATATGATATGAGACGCATTGCGTGACAAAACAAAATACGTAGAAAAAAAAAAAAAACATGACAGAGGACATGCAGCACAATGAACCCGCCATATACTCCGCATATGAATACCAAAGCAAGAAATTAGAGAACCAAAGGCCAGGCTTAAGTGCAAATATAGAACACAGTTTGAGTCCCTCGATTGTTTGTATCAAGGCAAAACCTACCAAAAAAACCCCCAAAAAAAGAAAGAAAAAAAAAAGAGGCTGAGCCCTTAATATTCCAACACAAAATTTTCTCTCCCAAGTCCAGCCCTCTCTCCTCCCAAACTACAGACAGCATGACTTTCAAGAACCCCATCCATAACCATAAGATCTATACAGAGCATTTTTTTCCCCTCTTCAATTAACTGCTAACTGTGTCAACTAGAGTGTTTTTTTCCTGTAAAATTTGTTTTGACATTTACAAATTTGTGGTTTGGAAAATTGTACAGCTCGTGATCAAAAGCTTCCCCGACCATGCAAAGTTATTTTTCAGCTTCAAAGAAAAAGACTTGAGGTTGCAAGTGCCCCTTTATACACATCAACAGAACATCATCCCAGCTGCCAATCACCTAAACAGAATAACCAAACATCCCCTATAGATCAACAACACCCATAATAGTGATAACAACTCTACACCATATGAAATGACACCAAAATCTTACCTTCACAGTCTTGTCATCGTACATGATCCACTTTTCGTGATGACGACTGTATGCAACACAGTGATAATGTTGCCTGTAATAGCAAACCTGAAAATGTATATTCCAGGAAGTCAACCCATTATATCCCGACCCACCAAATCAATAACCATATTACCATAACAGTAATTAAGTTGACGAATAAAAGTTCAGAGATGAAGAAACTATCAAACAGTTCTTCCAGGATGTACTAAAACAGTAATTTAAAAAAAACAAAAGATTTCCAGACAACATACGGTCGCAAATAAGTTGTGCCTGAGGCTTACCACTGAGGCCAGAGTATATTTGCTGCCAGGACCTAAACCATGGTAAGGGATGCTGATGTCTATCTCAGTGGATAAGGCTGCCAATGTTGCTCTTATGTCATCAAGACTCTCACAAGTATTCTTCCAGCCCAGAACTACAGTGGAAAACAAAGCGTTGAAATCCTAAGATATTTAAGGAAGCAAATTGATGAGGCTTTCTCTTTTTCTTTTCCAACATTCCCCAAATTTTGACATTTTCCAACTAGTATTCATTACAATTGCATGAATGTGGGAAGCGGAAAAAGCAGGAAAGCCGCCGAAAAGGAAATACCTATGGTGAAGACACTTGGTGGAGTTGACAGGGAATGGTGAATGCAGTTAAGTTGCCCACATCCACCAGCATCTGGATCACAAGCCAGTTGGTGGTTCCTCTCTACAAGATTCATAAGTTCATCAAATGATTTTTCTTGATGCATAACCTGTAAGGTAAGATTATAAGCTGTTGTTAAGTGATTTAAGTTAGAATCCACACCACCACCAAACAAGAAATCAGTTCACTCTTAACGTTGATGGGAAAAAGACTAATTAGCAAGAATACTACTGTGTAACTTGCCTTCATCGTTCTCAGTGCATTGGCATTAATATTGTGAAAGAAACTAGTGTATTTCAGATGTCTAGATTCTGAGTTGCAGTTGGGGCAGAGCATCCTCTCAAAGATATCCATTCCGAACATGGAATGTACAATACAAGCACTGTTTGTACAGTCCCATGAGTCCAAGCGCCTAGCTGTTGATTGTGTATCAGAAGCACCCAAATCCGAAGTAAACGACTGATGGAGACAATCAAATATTACACCTAGCACTTCTGAAGCATCATTCATCTGCCCCTGTAGGTCATATTAATAATGTTAATAAGGACTTCAGACCATGTGTTTTAAAATCCTATAGTAAAAAAATTGAAACTGTTTTACCAACAGCCAAAGGTAAACACTACCTCCTGAAAGAAATTGCTATCAGGGTACAGGTTGCTCAAGGCAATCCTCAAGGAAGTAGGAGCAACAACATCTCTTTGTGTCTCCGAAGATGCCATGCTCAGAGCAGTAAAAATACCATATAAAGCACACACAACACAAGGATCGCCAACATGAACATGCTCTGATAATCTCAAAAATTCATCTCGAAAGCGGCTTAAATTCCACAATGACTGAAATGAAACAAAAAAAGAAACATACAAAACCACAGCCTTCAAAAAAGGAACAAGACTTGATAAACAAAAATAAAATCCATAATGAGATCCCGCTCTGAGGGCTTCAGACAGATTCTTATTACAGACCTGGATAATGACATTCAGGAAGCAATTATACTCTCCAATTTCATTCTGTAACCCTGTCCCATATACATTAACTCCAGCAATCTCATTGGCCCCCTCATTGGGCGAATCTCCATAATAACCCATTTCTGAGCGTGCCTTTGGTAGCATCCCTGAACAGGGTATAGAAGGCAATAAAAGATAAATAAAACGAGACATTAGTCAAAATCTTGATAAAAAAAGCTATTCTAACTGATCATTTGGAAGTCATTTCTGAGTGTATCTATGATAGCATCCCTGAACAAGGTATACTCAAGGCAATAGGAGACAAATAAGTTCAGATAGTAGCCAAAATGTTGATAAAAAAAGATATAATAACTTATCATTTGGAAGTCAAGAGTTATGGGAAACCATCAAGTCAGAGAATTACTAGGAATTTACCAATTTGTTCCCAACTTGAAATAACAAGCTGCAACCTTACCAAATACAGCACTGATGTGCTTTTGTATATTATCCTATAATTTAGGTTACAGCCTTTCAGATTATGCTTCCAAGTTTCAGCCATACAATCCAATAAACATGGTAAACAGGTTATACCATGTACGAAAAACAGGATTAAATAGATCATACTATTTACTCATTAAATAAATACTATTGAGCCAAGCGATATCCGAGAAGGGTGGTAAGGGGAGGGTCGAAGGGATACAACAGACCCAGTACAATCCCACAAAAATTGGAGTTAGAGGGTTGGAGGGATAGTTTAAGAAAACATTTTAACTATGTTTTTAATTCACAATAGTTTGGTCACGTTGCCATTTGTCACCATATAAGAGAGGTTGGAAATGACAGCATGTAAGAAGTCTACACTTCCACTGACCTTGAAAATTGTCAGATGGCATCAGTGCACTGCCTGTGTTATTCTCCCCCCCAGAAGAAATAGCTTGATACTTTCCTTCACAAGATTTTTTCAACCCCTTCTGACGTCTGCTATGTCTTAGAGTCTGATCAGGGACTGCAGTACCATCTTCGGCTATTCCTCCATTCTGAATATCTGACAAGAGAACAGAGGAAAGGCATTTTAAGTTCACAACAACATCATCCAACACAGCAAACTTTTACTCGTGCAGAGAAATAGGCACACCTGCTGTCTTTGCATCGGCAGCAGCAGGATTCTTTGGAAAATCATCCCCAGTGTCATAAGATCCATCGGTTGGCAACATTGAATCCTAACAATGTAATAGAATATGTTAATAAAATCTCATAATGTGTCTCAAAAACTACTCAGCAATGAATCCTGTTGAAGAACTAAAAGAGCTTTCAAAGCCACATGCCCACATGATCTGGTAAAAGTTGAAAAACATGTCTATGAGAAGATGTAAAAGTGAAGAAATGCAGCACATAATTACCTTCGCATTAATTTTCCACAGCCAGGTTGCATCTTGATCCTCCTTATATCTTGAATTATCATCAGGCGTTAATTCTGCATGCATCTTCTCAGAAAGTGTTCTTCCACCCTTCTTATGCTCTGCAGCAAGTTGCTTGAGTTTAGCGTCATTTTCAATTTGCCTTTGGTACTGCAGTGTTTCTTCGAGCTTTCTTTCCTCTTCTTCAAGCACAATTCTTAAATTATACTCTTCCTGACTTGGAGAATCTTTTCTCTCAACAATAACAAGTTCACCCTCTTCATTTTCTCTATCATTAGCACCTTGAAAAGAACTGAGAAGGCACAAACATTTGAATAATATTACAAGTGGTTTAAAGATTTCTTTGACTATTCTTAGAATGTTTACATATGTAGTGTTCTCTAAATTATAAAGACGCATACATGCATTCAGAAGTCTCATGGTGCTGAATGGGCAGCACATTTCCACCAGAAACCTGAAAAGATGTAGGTTCAGAATCATCTATGGTCCAGTAAAAAGATAAACTTCCAAAAAAATGAACAAGAGTACTTTTCAACCTTCACATCCTTGCTTTTTCGATGGTCCTTGCTCTTTTTCTTATCTTTCACCTTTTCAGTACCATGTTTTAGATTATCACTTCCTCCGCCTGAGCTCTTCTTGGAATCACGAGCAAGCTCTGCCAGGAATGCTTCTCTTGCAGCATCAGATTTCTCTGTGGCATCTTTCTCTGCCAAACTTTCCAAGTAAGCCTGGAGAAAATGTCATATAAAACAAAATGTAAATAAAAATAGGGATAACAAAATTTACTACTGAAGTGATTAATCAACTACGGACAGAAGCACATAAAACAATTTACCAACCCGCATAAATGACTTCACTAGCGGCACTACAACCCGCCTATAATCATTTCCAGATACAGGCTCAAGCTTCAATTCCAAATGTCGCACCCCACTAAGAATGCAAAGGATTCTTGCATCAATTTTGCTCAGCTGCATTGGGGGAGGGGGGTTAGAGACGTAGAGTTTAAAAAGCATGGTATTGTCAATACGGTTGGGGAAACATTGAGGTCGGGAATTAACAACGAACCTCAATTGAGTTCTGTTCCTTCTGTCTCTGAATTGCAAATTCTACACATGAGTCAGCGTGGTGAAGGGCATCTTTCGCCCTCCAACTATCATCTTCACCCAATTCTAAATCACAGAGATGAGAAGTCATATCGCTGTAACTTTCCCCATACCCAAATCGACTGACATTAAAAGACTCGGCATCATTTAGAACATTTGAAATGGCTTCCACCTCGATCCTATGATCTATATTTGCTGCACCATGGTGGTCTTCCAAAAGCTCTTCTCGCCATTTCTTTAAAACAGCATCATAGCTTTCTGGGACAAAGTCAGTGGCATGTTCTCTTTTATTGCCCTCTTCTAAGCAGAGATCTTCTACTGCCTTCACAGCCTCCTCGTAACTCAAATGCTCACATTTTCTTTCACATAATCCCCGGAGTTCATGAAATTCCTCCTCAAGCAATCTAAGAATTTCTGTGCCTTGCGCAGCTTTCTCTTCTCTTAAACGTGACCAATTTTCCAACTGTTCCCCACTTGTTGGTCCCATGAATATCCAAGACAAAAATGCATCTGAATCAAACGAAACCCCATTGTCGTATGGTATAGTAGAATAGACTGCTGCAATTTTATCATCAGTAACCACATTGTGAAGCCTGGTCACAAAATGATTGTGAGACAGGAAATGCTCGTCAAACAGTAAATATGAACCATCTTCACTAAAAATTAATTTCTCCATAGCATCAGCGCATTTAGTCCCACCATTTCTGTTTTCTATATCATTAATTCTCCCATAGTACCTACTTGTGCCACAACTTTGAGATATCTCCTGTAGAAATTTTAGAACCTTTGTAAGTTCTTGGGAACCCAAAAAGCAAATGCACAATGGATTTTGATCAATATTGCAGCTAAGCAACTCACAACCACAATGACCCTTTAGCTCCTCTACTGCAAAATTCATAACCCTGTTCAGATGACTTGAAGCAAGGCACTTATTTTTAATAAGTGATTGGAATGCAGCGTGTATCCTTTCAAGTAGCTTGGCACGCTCTAGGTCATCAGATATAGGCCATCCACCGGGGCCTCCATTACCATCAAAGTCAACCCATTCAATATCTGACCCCTTGTATTCTCTCCTCTCAATAGTAGTATTACTGTCTCCATCCCACAAAGGCTTTTTCCCAGGTAAGATACAAGATTCATCGTGACAGTGAATGTTGGAGAATTCCCCGTTAGATTGATCCACTTCACTCCTTTGGAGAGCACACTCTTGAGGTTTTGACTTGTTCTCAAGCACTTTTGTCGCTGCACTAAGATCTAATGGTTTCCAAGGGCAGTTCAGAAGTGCCTTGAACCACTTATTACCAACATCTTGAGGAAGAACTGAGAGCAGTTTAGGCTCCAAATGCCCCATGTGCTCGTGCATGACATGCTGAATGTGCATTTCAGGGTCTGAGAATTTTTCACCACAATTGCAACATTCCCAAAATTTCCATGTTTTATTAGCGTCAGAGAACTGTAAAGCTTCAGACAACACTTGACTTGCAAATCCATCCTTTAACGAACCAAAGTGAATTTTGAGATCCAAAATTTTAATTCTAAGCAACTCTTTCTTCATATCCATACTCATAGAATTCCAATAAGACTGCACCCATCCCTTTCTATCCGTGGAGGATGCATTCTTCCTTGCAGTCCCACTCTTCCTTCTCTCACTCCCCTTCTGCCCTGGCACTGCAGAGGGATCCAAGCTCTTATCTTCATCATTTGGTGGTTGGGCTGATTCTGACTTCTGCATCAATAGCCTTGCTGCAGCAACTCGAACTTCAATCTCCTTCCTTCTATCCTCAGGTGTCTTGGTTGCCTTCTTAATCTCATTAGGCCTTCTTGCTTGTACCAAACTCAACTCCATAGGGTCCTCAGGCACCCTCCTTATTGGTATCAACCTGAACTTCTCATCCCCGTTGCCCAGGTGTTTCATCCAAGTAGAAATGGAAGCAATATTAGATTTCTGAATCAGATTCCTAATGTCATTCTGCACCTGTAGAATTCGAGCCTCAGGAGTGGATAGCTTCAATTGACTCTCCTGTAAGCTTTCCTTTCCTGGATCGACAGGGCTTTCTATTGCCAGTGCCCTCTCACACTCTTGAACAACTTCTTCATACTCCTTACCATCATTAGCCATTTCATACAACAAATTGGCATAGAAATGTGCAAACTCAATTGAATTAGGGGACATCACTGTTGCTTTCTTGGCAGACTCGATGGCATTCTTCATATGCCTATTTTTCCCATTGGGGTCGTCAATTAGAGACGCCACTTTTGTGCAAACAGTGCCGTGAACACGGTGAACCAAAGCTCCATAGGGTGATTTATCGTACTTCACACACAAGTCCTTCATCGCCCTTAGGGCTTTGGTATGGCTCCCTATGCGCAGGGAGTTCAGTGCCTTCTCGCATTCAAGCTTAATATTGGCATAAGAAGCCGAATCAATGCCCTCAAAATCAACGGCGGTCACCGATTCGAGCGAGACATAGGGCGCCGCTCGTTCATCGGAGACCGCCACAGAAGCAGCCGGAGAATCTGAGGGTTTAGAGCGAACAGCGAAGTTGCGCTTCTTGGATCCCATCAACTCGTGCTATATCAAATCCTTGAAATGCAATACTCTACGCATCCATCAATACAACTACCAGCCCTAACGGATTAACGATATTGAACGATATAAGAAAGCCTCACGAACCGAAATGCAAGAAGAAAGAGAGTAGCAGGCAAACCGATACGGATAAGACGATCGGACGTCCGCCGGAGCAGCGGCTGTATAGAGTTCGCTCGTACAGTTTAGCCGTCTCTCTCCGTCAATCACGCCAAACAGGTAGTTGAGTTAGGGGAAGGCGTGCAGTTGTGGAATCCAGAGGTCCGGAGCGCTGCCTTGGATTGTCTTGTAGGAGGAGAAAGAAGGCAAAATGGGAATTTCCAATCTTTGGTTGGGTACTTGGGTATATTCCCTATAAATCTATAATTCATATGCATTCAATATTTGTCTAATTTTAATTTTTTTGGCTTAAAATTGGTTAAAAATGATATCCGTATTAGATATTGACACAAAATGTTACAAATTAAATAAAAGTTATATTAAATGACTATAATCTATTATCTGATTAACTGTAAAAAGTCAAAACTGAACAAATATTTCATTAAGAAAGTAATAGTTGGATCTTAGAAAGATGCTTTTTATCAAAATGTTACCTAGTTACTTATTTCATTTCACTATTTTTATTTACTTGTACCTTTATTATTTATTTTGTTATTCATTTCATAACATATTTGATTATATATGTATGATGCACATTATTCATATTTTATCTTATTTTTTTGAAATTGTCTATCAGGGAGGGTATAAGTGTATAACACAATTAAAACAATAAAAGTTGAAAAAACTTGACATTTATATTTTTTAAGTGTAAACACATTTCAAATTTTTGATATAGTTTTTTTGAAATTGTCTATCAGGGGGTACAAGTGTATAACACAATTAAAACAATAAAAGTTGAAAAAACTTGACATTTATATTTTTTAAGTGTAAATACATTTCAAATTTTTGATATAGTTACATCATTACAGTTCTATCAAATTGAAGACCATCACAAGTTCCTAGCAAAGATAATTTCAACTCTTTATTCGTCAATAGGTTGAAAAATATATTTGAGCGTATGCTAAAATGTTTTAACGCTAAGAGTGCAAAAAATAGACCTCATCAAATTATAGGTCAAGTTGGATTTTAATTCCGGTCAATACGCTCTCTTACGAAATTTTTTAGGTTCAAGCCAGGTCTGCACTACGCGCCGACCATTGAAGTTTGAGCCTGACCCATATGAAAACTTACGAGTTTCAGTCCGACCTGCTGAACACGTACAATAAATACAAAACGCACTTCGTTTGTTTCGCAAAAGAGTTTTATTTTTTATTATTGGCAAAATTAAGAAAACTATATTTTGTAGTTAAGTTTTCAAATTTATCCTTGAATGTGATGTATAGATTGAAAGTGTATATATGATGTGATAAATTGGGTAACTCTTAGTAAGGATAAAACAAACATTTGCTCCCTCCGATTCAAAATAATTTACCTCATTACTATTACGATCTATTGATAACTTTTGTTTGTTTACATGTTTTCATTAATCATTTAACAAAATAAAATATTCATGTCACCTCTTGTTTTAAAAACTTTTGATATATTTTTTAAATATATACGTTTTATTTTATATTTTAATACTAATTTGTAAATAAAATCATTTCAAAAGCCACATAAATTGGCACGTTGATCAAAAGGGAAATCTATTTTGTGATGAAGAGAGTAATAAAAACTGAAAGCACTTTAAGACAAGAATAAAAGTGAATGTGGAATTTAAAAAAGGTGGAACGTCCACCCTGGGCGCCCCGACGCCCCAACCCCGATAGGATTTTGAAGGTTTAAATCATGATATAGAGAAACTATCATGTGTCTGGTGCGCACAAGAAACTATTACAAAGGATAAGACTTTCACACTACTACTGTCGGGATTCAATCCTAAGATCTTTGGATTGGATATCTTCTCCTTGGACTAACTAAGCTACCCATGCAGGTTGAAAGTGGAATTTAAGAGTATATGTGTGGTTTGTGTGGGTGAATCGCTTAGGAATTTAGGTATAAGGAACGGGTGAGCTTATGGGCATCATGAAGGAAGAAAAACCAAAGCAGGACTAAAGCATTGAAAACATATTAAAATAGGACTTACATGTTTTTATTCCCGAAATAGAACTTACATTACCAAACATTGTCATATGCATTACCAAAAAAGTATAGTAATCTGCACATGTACACTGTCACATTACCACAATGCAAAGTTACATTATCACAGTGCAAAGTCCTATTCCGGGAAAAAAACATGAAAGTCTTATTTTGGTACTTTTCCCTATGTTTTAGTCCTATTTAGGATGATTTCTACATCATAAATGTAGAACATACACCTCTCTTTCATTTATAGATAATGTTAGAGTTAATAGATGTAACATGTATATATATATTTTTTGGGACTAGCTTCTCTGTTGGAGATGTTCTTAGACTTTATGTGAAAGAGCAATACACAAATTAATCGAGTTCTAACTTATTTGGTTGCAGCAAAGTCTAATTCAACACAAAGGACTTGTTAGTAATTCATTCTTTTAGTGTCATTCAATTAATTTACACAATCACCCAAGAAAATAATACTTTGTGCCTTAACATATTGTGAGGGAGCATTTAACAATTCCACAACCTAATCCCCGATCGAGTACTAGCAAAATGCATGAACACTTTTTTAACAATAACACGAAATGTGATGAAATTCAATAGAACTCGAAAACTATTGATATATGCATCGAGAGATCTTGAAAGTTGTTACGATGTTACAATAAAATCTTAAGAAACAACTAATCCAACGTCTCCAAGAACTTCAATGTGAGGTCATAGTTACACATCATTTTTTTTGCTTTATTTTTAAGTTGATTCTAAAATTAGAATATGGTTACCAAAGTCTAAAGCCCAAAAACTAACATTTTGAAGATTCACCATATGAAATTTAGAAATTAAAGTCTTGAATTTGAAGGTATAAGGCCTTGTTCTTTTAGTTGGAAAAATTAACTTCTAACTCTTTCTAGTTCCTTCTAACTGTTTCTAGTTCCTTCCAATAATTTAAAAAAGTATTTATATATGATTAATATAAAATAACATTATATGTCTAAATTTATAACATATCACTTCAAACACGAACAATGATGTAGTATTTTTATCCAAAATTAGAATTTCCTTATATATTTATTTGGATGATCATTTAATTGAGTGATTTTTTAACACTGAAATTCTTCTAACATTTTTTAACTCTTAGTTTTTTTTCAATTCTTTTCAATTTCTTCTAACATTCAACTCTAAAATTCTAGCTCAAAAGAACAAGACCTAAATACAATCATACTTACAACTCGTATTCAAATATACTTTTTGGGTCTTGAAATGCATAAATTATTTGTTGATGCAGAAAGGCATGCACGAGAAATTACTACCTCCGTCCCATTTTATAACGTCTGTTTCGGTTTACGATGTTTGACTGAAATTATTTTCAAACCATTTTATATGACAAATGGTATAAAATTAAAAAATAAAAATTACATATTAAAAAACTACATCAAAAGATCTACAAAACTAGTAGTGACAATAATATTTTATTTTATCAAATTGCTAACGAAAATAGAGAAAGAAAGTGAATGAAATTTGACCATGTAAATAGTAAACAGGTATTATAATTTGGGACGGGGGGAGTAATACTTTTCCACTCTAGAAATGCATATATTACTGGTTGATGGAGAAATAAAAAAAGGCATGCACAAGAAATTAACATGACACGCCAATCGTTCGACCTGAAAATGATTCATGCCCTTAACCGCCATCCCAGTCCCATGCCCCAATCAAACCTCTAAATTGGTTAACATTCTCGTTAAAAATTAGACCAAAATGTCGACCAATTTGGAGGTTCGAGAGCATTGTAGAATGTTCGAATTCCCAAGTGTCAAAATAACAAGTGCTATGGAATGATTATAAGGCAATGGTAAGAGTATATTAAAATGAGTACTCCATTTGTACACCAAGCTTTCACAGACAGATACGCGAGTATTTGTGTGAGTCTTTGAAGACTTGTGTATAAATAGGGCATCCCATTTTGGTGCGGTTAATTCGTGATATTACAGCAAATGCATTCGCTCAACGTAAGGGTGGAGCAACCATGTGTTAAGGGCCTCACCATACCCCACAAAACACCCAGAGTTCCCCTTCTCCTTGATCAACGGAAAACCAAACACGTCTAGCAACTCCTGCACCGCTTGCCTCACCAGCGACGTCCCCGTCACCTTGCTCCTCCGCCCCCACCCCGTCACTATGTCGATCCGGCTCGGGCGGATGCCCAGCACCAGTATCCGCCGGCGGAACCACGCCAGCGTCCTCGACAGTGCCGTGACGGCGGTCCCGTCGGACATGACGTGGAGGTTGATGAGCCAGTAGCACGAGCTCTTCTCCCTCACCACGTCCGGGTATATGTTCCTCATTGCGGCCACCTCCCACACGGACCCCGCCTCCTCCTTGAGTCCGGATTTGTGCAGGAAGTCGACCACGGCGTCCACGAGCCCCCTCTTGCTCTCCCGGTCCTCGCTGTGCATGAAATCCAAGAAACGGGTGACGTGGTCCCGCACGTTCTGCCCGTCGGGTCCTGAAGATGGCATGGTCAGCAGGAAGGCGTGGGCAGGGTGACGTGTCACTGCCATGAGCTAACAACAGAATCCCTTCGCAAACGACGACGCTCGGGCTTCGGTGCAGCAACTGAGGAGCAATGTGTAGGTCTGCAAAGACGGGTTTAGCCCTAGGGTGATCATGCTTTGGAGCAGGTTATAGGCATCTGGCAATTGGTGTACCCTGAGGAAAGTGCTTAACAGAGAGTTGCAGGTGGGGACATTGGGGCGTAAACCTGCGCAGAGCATGGCGTGATACCACTCCCATGCCTTCTTCACGTTGCCCGCTTTTCCCCAAAGATCGACCAGAAGACCGTACACGGGCTCGTCGGGTGCCCAGTTATTCCTCGTCATCTCCATGAACACCTCCTCGGCTTCATGTAGATACCCACAGTGCCCGAAAACCTCCATTATAATGCTGTAAGTCACCTTGTCTGGTTGAAACCCAGCTTCCTGCATGTCGCGGTAAAGCTGGAGTGCATGAGAATAGTTCCTTGCTTTGGAATGCAAGGCGATCATGATATTGTAAGTCACCAGGTTTGGGACACACCCTTGGTTGACCATCTCACAGAACAGCTTATGAGCCGTGACCAAATGACCCGCTTTCCCAAGACAATTGATGATGACACTGTAAGTGAAGGTGTCAGGAGACAGCCCGGCTTCTTGCATCCTCTGATACATGTCCATGGCTACATCAAGATATCCGGCCTTCGCGTGGAGGTCAATGAGGGTACAATAGGTAACAAGGTCAGGCTCACACCCTTCTTCCTGCATTCGGTTAAACACGCGCAATGATTCGTTCAAGTAGTTCGCCCGTCCATAACTATGGATGATCCGGTTATACGTCACCACGTTTGGTTGACACCCTTCAGCCACCATCTGGCTGATCAATCTGTTTATTGCCCCAAATTGCTTGGCTCGCCCAAGGATGCCAACCATGGTCGTGTAGGTGTGCTCGTCGTGTTTGAACCCTGGTTGGCATTTCAACCAATAGAAATAGTTGAGTGCAAGCGCATGGTTTTGGAGCCGCTTGAGAACTTGGTTTGCTTGATAGGCATCCAGTGGGCGGTTGAGTTTAGAAAGAGCATCTTCTGTCTCTGGGCCCCAATGCATATGTTGTTGTAAGACGCGAGAAACCGTATCTGCAGTATGATGACCATTCTTTGTCTCCCGAAGAGACAACCTTTTTGGCCTTTCCTTTATTATAAGCTCTCCATTTGAAGCTTGATCATCACATGTTGAATAATATGGTCTAGAGTTTGCACACAATGTCATCCTTTTGTCATGTGTATCGACATCAACAGCTGTTCCATCATTTGTAACAGAATTACATTTTGAACCTCTGCCTGGTGTGCCGCTGCAACTATTTACAGGACTTGAAGTTACAGCAGGTGGGGTTTTTGCATAACCTTTACCAAAAGATTTTGCAGTTGAGGAGGGCTTAGGTGTAGAAAAAGGCTCGGTGTGCTCAACAATGCAATCTGGTGATGATTTAATTGCGCCATCTGACATTGGAATTTTATAATGTACCAAATCTGATAAAAAATTGACCGCTGCAATACCTGCCCTAACGAACTGGTCAGAAATGGGAGGCGATGAATGCAATCCGTCTGAAGCTTCCAAGCTCCCATAACTACTAACACAATCTGCTCTCTTTGATGGGTTCGAATAAGGTGCAACTTTTGGCTGAGAAACCGAATATTCACACTTCTCATTCTTCTGGGAGCTCAAGGCTTTTATGGCATCTCTTGAAATAGAGGAATCTACTCCACCCGTAGGCTTTGTAAATGAAGACGAAGAGGCTTCTCGACGCTCAGCATCCTTCTTCGTTTGAATCCTTCTTGAAGCGCACGTGTCGTCTTCCGAACAAGCACATGAACCGTCTGCTGCACCCGATCTTGATCCGTTTAAGATGAGGGACCTAGCAGACTGGGATAATGTCCCGATTTGCTTTGCACGTATCATTTTCTGCAAATAAATAGAAAATGCAAAGACATATTCATCTACTCTATATTAGATTTAAGCGCTTCACAGTTAATGATAGAGCCAGCCACGCAAAAAGATGATCTGACACTTAAAGAAGCAAGAATTTTGAAGCTTAACCAGGCAGCCTTAGACAGCTTGGAGGCAACAAAGCCAACTTAATTTATCAGTTATATAGAGAACATGAGGTGAAGCGGATACCAAGTAATGCAGCGCTACACACAAGATGTTACATCGGATGAAAATTGTACTTAACAAGTTTTCAACCAGACACGCGATGAAGTGTTAGCCAAACAAATCCAGTAATACCCCCACTTGAAAGTAGGGTCTAGGGGGGCAGATGCACGCAAACCTTACTTCTACTTCTTATTAGGCTGAAGTGAAGCTGAAAATGATAGTGTTAACCCAACAAAACCATGGTTTTAAAAGGCGAAAAAGGCGGTCCGCCCTGAGGCGGTAAGGCGCTAAGGCGGTAGTTTTTTGCCCCAGAGGCGTTCGCACCAGATGATTTCTGCGAGGCGTATGCCTTGATTTACAAAACAAAAAGTTTACGACATTAATCTCATAAACACAGTGCTCCACTACTGCTCCTTTAACTTTTGCTTCTATAAGTATTCACATTGTTTGAATGATATACAAACATGTACTCTCCACATAGAAACATGCGGCACAACATCAGAGGAGATAGTAGTGTTCAACAACAACATTTGGATTTCTAGGAAGAGAATGATCAAACCTACAGCTCACTTTAATATAATCAGATAAACTTCCCATTCCCTTGGAACACAAAACTGCAACCATTACATTTCTGGTTTCAATAAAATACACAAAGCTATGGTCTTTGCCAAAACCAATGAACCATAGGAGATGGTAACTTTTTGAATTACAAAACAGAAAAAGCTCTGATCTTTCATCGAATTCAGCCCACTGAAACCCAGAAAACATGCCACATTCAAATTTGCAGGAACGACAATAAATCCGAGAAAAGGATGGCACAGCTTAGCCAATACCATTTCAACACCCGAAAAAGATTTTAAAAAAGAACATTTTTGACTGTTCATGAAAAGATCGAGAAGAATCAAAGCATAAACACTAACAAGACTATTCAAAAAAAAACCATGACATCCGTCGCAATAATTTCATAAAATCAAGACGGCCCAGAATCAAGAAAGCCGAAATAACTGTAGCTAAAAACTATACCGGGGCATGGACTCTCCTCTGTATGGGCGACTCCCGCACACTGTGTGAATTTTTAGTACGGAGTATTTCTGCTACGGAGGACTATGTATATTCTACCCTAGGAGACCGTATCTAGTTTTCATACGGAGTACCGTAATTCTTTTTCGTACGTCCTAGAGATTTGATTAGTGTTACATGTGAGTATGTGACCAAATATATAACAAAGTGGGATTGATCCATTTGATTATAGTTGTATAAGTTCTAATCTGATTGGTCCATTTGATAATAACACTTTCGATTAGTGTTAGCATTTTGAATAAAAGTTTAACGGTTTATATTTACTTTGAAAAATATAACGCCAAACGCTATTCATATGTAGTATGTTTAAAACACTAACATTATTGCCAAACATGCCCTAGATTTGATCTAATATAATTAAATTTGATCTCATATGATTTTAATAAAAATAAGTGATAAATCAAAAAACTAAGTTAAACAGAACGTACTCTTAATGACCAGACATGTCCCAATTCCCATATAAGGACTCGCGAGTTTCAGATTGGTTCAATCCACATTCAAATATTTTGTACATATTAAATAAAATAATATTTACTATGTACGAGTTAATAAATATTACAAAGAATTATTATTGTTGTTCTTATAGTAGTTATTGGTATGATTTCTATTATTATGATTATTATATCAGCACGAATCCGATCTCAATTTGAACATAAAGTTTGAGCCCGCTCTTAAGTTGCAGGTCGTCATTTTTGACGGGCCAACCCTTAAGTTAAGTTTGCATGGCCTTGTAGCTCAGGTTGCTCTTTTTTAAAAATAGATATAGAAAAAATAGACTAATCTTTTGCTATGTTTGAACAATATATATGTGGAAATCGGTATGTTTACTTCTATAGAGTAACAAAAAGAAAAGGGAAAATAAATAAATTAGAAGACCAAACTGCCACTATGTGAAAAAAATTAAATGTAAAAACATGTAAACCATCGAGCGAGTGATTAGATAAGGATAAAAGTACTTGCTAATAACATTGTGTTTTCAAAAAAGAAATAAAAAGTTAAAGTTAATTAAAGATGAGTAAATTTTCAAAATAGTCCTCTATAATAATGTATTTTTCCTTATTTAGTACTAAATAAGTTCTAATTACCTGCGTGGTCTTTTATAATTGAGATTTATTCCTTAAGTAATCCTTCGTAAATGGTAATATTATTCAAATGATGATTAATTAAAGGAAATTTTGGTATTTCTATCATCTAAATTTAAAGTATATTCTCCAAATCATAATTTTTATAGAATTAAATGATAAATTAAAAATACATTGAATATACATAATCCATTAATTATAAAAAACCATTAAAAAATTTTAAAATTCGAATCAAATATACATATTTATTTAGAATAAAACCATACTGGGAAAGCACTTTATTAGAAATGATCATTTTAAAAATTTATTTTAAATCTAGCAGATAAAAATACCATAACACACTTAAATTAATCATCAAATAAAAAACATTATTTACAAATAACTATCTAAAGAATAAATCTCAATTATAGAGTATCACATAGATAATTAAAATATATTAATGACTGATCTTAAAAAATATCTAATTAGAGAAATAAGTCATTAAAAAGTTACAATATTTGCTTAACGATTACACTATGTTTTGCTTCAAAGATAAAAAAAAATAAGACGAAAAATAAATTTTTTATTTGTTCAAAGAGAAAAGAAAAGTAAGAAGAAAATAGAGTATCTGAACTCTGGAGTCCGGGTCGGATTTGATACCCAGTCAAGGACTCAGGGCTCCGAACTAGTCTGAGTCGTGTTCCCTAGAATATTGATTCCAGAATCTGTGATTTAGCAGTAGGTTTATATCCCGCATCTTCATCACACGCAACTAAAGCACGGAAGGTATATATATTTTCCCAGATGTTTCATTTTTTCCTACAGAATTGCGAGTTAAGAAAAAAAGAACGATTTTTGAAGAAAAAAACTTCTCACTTGTTAATGAAGTGGTGCTGATCTACATTTAATTCACTTTTCTGTTAACACATGAAACAAAATGAATCTTGTAAATGATTTATTGGTTACAAAATCCATATACTGCTTACAAAATCTCATCACTTGGCCAATATTACATTACCCATTCTATTAATGTTTTTGGCATAGAGGAGATGCTAGGCTAGGGTTGATTAAGAAAAATTTAATTGCCTCAAATTCAACTAGGCAATTTGAGAATTGAATGCTTGTTGCAACCTAAGGAGTATCCAAGCTAAGGAGAATGTGAAAGCTATGAATGTAATGTTCTCCCACTGTCTGGGTTTAATTATCCATTTTCTTGTTTTCGTTTGTATGAAATTAGTTGATTACTTTTCATATCCAATAAAGAAATTATGCTGAACTGTCTAAAATGTCCTAGAAAAATGGCATGGACATTCTTGACATGAACGAGTTTATTATTCTTTTGAAGGTCTTTTTATGTATTTTGAACTAATTTTTAATTTGATATTTTTTTCAAAAGTAGACAACTAAATCACGATGAAGGGAGTGATTTTTAAGAGGATTACTAATATATTGACTATGAAGTCTCGTATTATCTGTGCATTTAGTATGATGTACACAGTGCTACATTTGAAAACAAAAAATGATTTTTGGAATCAGCAAACTAGCACTTTGTTATTTCTCCACCTGTCTTGGTGCAGTGAATGTGATGAACAACGGTACGTAGAAACCAAAATTAGTATTGCATCCTCGAGTTCTATGGATAAACATCAGCTAAGAAGTGAAACAATGGAGCCCAATAAGACCGACTCAATTGATAATGCAGGTTTGGGAGTTGCATTATAATCTCATCTTTTTGCAAGCTTGACGTGCTTCTTGGAACAGATCATGACATTGTAACATTAGGAAATACAGAGAGGCTAAATGGAACAGAACAAAATCCATATAAAATATGCTCTATAGAATTACAATGTTTGATGATAAAAATGTATGTGGAAGGGATATTTTTTAAGTGCCAGGACTTGGACAATCCTTAAACCATGTGCCTCCAAGCTGTAGGGAACCTAGGGGCCTTAGAACTTTTATTTGAACTGTTTACGAGGCTATGACAGCTCAAAATTTTTTTAGGCATTTTTGATTGGTTGAGCTATCCCAGTTCTTTGAAGCAAGTGGGGAATGCTGTTCTTTACCTACAAAGCTGGTAGTAGACATTATTGATCCTCTATAGAAGACCAAAGCATGTGGTAATGACACAAGTGGTTGAGCTCTCTCATTCTCATTTTTTATATGCAAGCTGGGTGCCCTCCCATTTAAACTTTTCTTAACCACTCATTCCACCTCCTAAAGGATCAGATCTATATAAACGCATATCAGTTGTTACTCACCCCACTCAACTCAAGGGCTTCCTTAAACCACAGTTTCTGCACTCACAAGTCTCTCTAGCTTATTAGCTTCTTTTTTTAACACTTCCAGAAACATTTGAACATGGCTATCAGTATGGGGCACGTTCTCCGTCCTAAGCTAGGACTCAGGAGGTCTTCTTCAAGAACAAACAGAGAAAGTGAGATTCCCAAGGGACACCTTGCAGTTTATGTAGGTGACAACAAGAAGCGCTTTGTCATTCCGATATCATACTTGAAAGACCATTCATTCCAAGACTTGCTAAGTCAAGCTGAAGAAGAATTTGGATTTGATCATCCAATGGGTGGACTCACAATACCTTGTGTGGAAGAGACCTTCCTTGACATAATCTCTAGTATGAGGATATGAGCAGATCTTGATAGACTGCAGTGCATAGATTATTCTGTATAGTCAGTAGATGACTTTTTATATTATTGTTTGCAAAGAAAGGTACTCTTGTACATTGTTCTTTGTTATCCTGATCAGATTGGAACTATAACTTTATATAAATGCTTGTTTTTTATATACTCCATATTTATTATTTATCTTGAAGCATTTCAAGTGGATATCCCCAAATGATTTATATCTCCGTTTTGACCAGATTATTTGCAAAACTATCCATCACCTTTTATGAATATCCCCAACAACAACAACAATAACAACACAGTTGAATCCCACACGAGTAGGGTCTGGGGAGGGTGTGTGTACGCAGACCTTACTCCTACTTGAAAGTAGAGATGCTGTTTCCAAAGAGACCCCCGACTCAACGTCGAAAGTTACATTGATTGACTAACTGCTACTTCATTAATTAAAGAAGCACAAACAGTTTAGAGATCCATTTTGCTTTATTTCATTGCACCCCAAATGATTTATATTTGATTTAAGTTATTTTACTTCTACAAAAGAATATTTAACTTATAAGTTGTTTATAAGTTAAAAATTGTTTATCAACATTAAGGCAATAAACACCACCACAGAGAAACACCCCTATATATTTGGTTTTAGAGAAACACTCCTTATATTTTGTTCAAAGAATTTAAAATAGAAAAGAAAAGAAAATGAGATGTAAAATAATTTCTTTTTAAGATAGAGAGGAAAAGAAAAAACAAGAAAAAACAAATTCTTTCGAAAAAAACTATGTTTATCTTGGAAAAAAGACTAAACTAGGAGTAAAGCATTGAGGAAATACTAAAATTGGAGCTCCGAGTTTTTTATCCCCAAAATAGGAGTACAATGCCAATAATGTCAATATATAATACCAAAAGTACACTAGGATGCCAATATACAGTGTCATAATGTCACAGTGCAAACTCATATTTTGGGGATAAAAAATGGAACTCATATTTTGGTTCTTTTTTACCTTTCTCTTTCCAATTTGCTTAACCTATTTGAAGATTTGAATATTTGATACCTATTCAAGAACTCAAGGGTCTGAAGTATTGCGAGTCTTGTTCACGAGACTAGTGAATATAGAATCTGTGATTACGGAGCTAAACCACGGAAGGTATATAATGTTTCATTTTTTCTACAAAATTGTGTGTTTAGAAAAAGGAATGAGTTTTTAAGGAAAAAAACTCCTCATTTAGTTATGAAGTTGTGCCGATCAACATTAATTTACTTTCCTGTTAACATATGAAATAAAATGAAGCTTGCAAATGATTTATTGATTACATAATCAGATAATCTATATACTGTTTATAATTTCGGATAACAAGACCTGCTATCTCATCACTGGCCAATATTACATTACCCCTTCTAGTAATGTTTTTGGCATAGAGGAGATGCTAGGCTAGGGTTGATTGAGAAAAATCTAATTGCCTCAAATTCAACTAGGCAATTTGAGAATTGAATGATTGTTGCTTACATCCAGGTATCCAACCTAAGGAGAATCTGAAAGCTATGAATGGAATGTTCTGCCTCTGTCTGGGTTTAGTTCTCCACTTTCTTGTTTTCGTTTGTATGGAATTAGTTGCCAACTTTTCATATCCAATAAAGAAATTATGCTGAACTGCCTAAAATGTCCTAGAAAAATGGTATTGACATTCTTCACATGAATGAGTAAATTATTCATTTGAAGGACTTATTTGATATTTTAAACTCATTTTTTATTTGATTTTTTCTCGAAGGGAGTAACTTTTAAGAGGATTACTAATATATTGACTATGAAGTCTCGTATTATTTGTGCATTTAATACGATATACACAGTGCTACATTTGAAAAGAAAAAATAATTTTTTGAATCATCAAACTAGCACTTCATGATTTCGCCACCTATCTTGGTGCGGTGAATATGATGAACAACGGTATGTAGAAACTGAAACTAGTATTGCATTCTCGAGTTCTGTGGATAAACATCAGCTAAGAAGTGAAAGAATGAAGCCCATGAACAGAGTCACATGATAATAGTGTAGTGGACAGGTTTGGGAGTTGCCTTATAATCTCATTTTTCAAGATAAGATAGATGGACAACAACCCTCTTATGATCAGCAGTATAGATATCAGAATGATCCTTTCTAACTAAAGATGAAGTAATGCTGCTATTTGCATAATCATTTAGTCTTGGAAATGAAATTTTCTTTCTTTTTATGGCAGCAAACCCCTGCCATACTTTTGCAAGCTTGACATGCTTCTTGGAACTGATCATGATATTGTTACATTAGGAAATACAAAGAGGCTAAATGGAGCAGAACAAAATCGATATGAAATATGTTTTATAGAATTACAGTGTTTGATGATAAATGTGGAAGAGATCTATTTTATGTGCTGGGACTTAGACAATCCCTAAACCATGTGCCTCTAAGCTGTAGGGAACCTAGGGGCCTTAGAACTTTTATTTTAAGGGTTTAAGAGGCTATGACAGCTCACAATTTTTTAGGTTTTTTGATTGGTTGAGCTATCTCAGTTCATTGAAGCAAGTGGGGAATGCTGTTCTTTACCTACATAGCTGGTAGTAGACATTATTGATCCTCTATAGAAGACCAAAGCATGTGGTAATGACACTAGTGGTTGAGCTATCTTATTCTCATATTTTATATGCAAGCTGGATGCCCTCCCATTCAAACTTTCCTAAACCACTCATTCCACCTCCTAAAGGACGAGATCTATATAAACGCATATCAGTTGTTGCTCACCCCACTCAAATCAAGAGCTTCATTAAAGCACAGTTTCTGCACTCACAAGTTTCTCTAGCTAATTAGCTTCTTTTTTTAACACTTCCAGAAACATTTGAACATGGCTATCAGTATGGGGCACGTTCTCCGTCCTAAGCTAGGACTCAGGAGGTCTTCTTCAAGAACAAACAGAGAAAGTGAGATTCCTAAGGGACACCTTGCAGTTTATGTAGGCGACAACAAGAAGCGCTTTGTCATTCCGATATCATACTTGAAAGACCATTCATTCCAAGACTTGCTAAGTCAAGCTGAAGAAGAATTTGGATTTGATCATCCGATGGGTGGACTCACAATACCTTGTATGGAAGAGACATTCCTTGACATAATCTCTAGTATGAGGATATGAGCAGATCCTTATAGACTGCAGACCTGCAGTGCATAGATCTTTCTTTATAGTCAGTAGATGATTTTTTATATTATTTTTTGCAAAGAAAAGTACTCTTGTACAATGTTCTTTGTTATCCTGATCAGATTGGAAATATAAATTTATAGTCAGATCTTTTTTATTTACTCCATATTTATTAGTTATCTTGAAACATTTCAAGTAGTAGGAAAAGAAGTCTGAACATCAATTAACATTTTAAGATAGGAAAATATGGTTATTCTAAAGATTTGAAGAGTATCATGGATTCATGGCTATCTTAGTGTGATTAGAGAGCAAGGAAATGTATTTAAGGTTTAGAATTTGTCTGAAGTGCCAAAGTGATTGAAACTTCTAATAGATTTGTATGAACCTCTAAGTTAATGGACTTTGAATTGAAAGTCTTGGATTTAATATTAATATTATATTTTCTCTAGATGAAGGTAAAACACTAAGTTGTGTCTTGTGTGAGTGCATGTGTTTCATTTCTTTAACAATATAAAAGATAAATTATGTTTACTAAAGGAAAAGAAGAGTTGAGAACAAATTAATTATTTAGAAAACAGCCCACATTTTTGTTATGATGCCATGCTCATAAGTTTTGTCAGATTACATTATCCTTCGGGTAATTATTTTGGCATAGTTATGATAGGCTAGGCTGGAAAGAGGAATTTTATTTTTGTACACAAATTGACTTAGGCAATTATATAATGAATGCTTGTTGCTCACATTTGAACAACTTTTTTTAAAAATTAACATAAGCACGCACTTGTAAAAAAGAAAAAAGTGGCAGCCAGTTGCTGGCAGCCAATTATTTATTTCATTTTAAAAATAAGTTTGAGTGGTTGAGCTATCCCATTTACAATGAAACTAGTGGGGAATGATGTTCTTTACCTACAAAACTCATAGTAGACATTATTGACCAATTTTTGGAAGACCTAAGCATGTGGTAATGACACTGGTGGTTGACCTATCCCATTCTCATATCGTATATGCAAGCTGGATGCCATCTCATCCAAACTTCTCTTGAGCATTCAATCCACATTTAAAGGATCATATATCTATATAAACACATTTCAGTTGTTATTCACCCCACTCAACTTAAGAGCTCTGTCTTCCTTTGAAAAATACACTATCTGCAATCACAAAGTTGTTTGTGTAGCTTAGCCTTTTCTATTAACACTTCCAGAAACATTTGAACATGGCAATCAGTATGGGGCACATTCTTCGTCCTAAGCAAGGTTTCAGAAGGTCTTCTTCAAGAACAAACAGAGAAGGCGAGATTCCTAAGGGCCACTTTGCAGTTTATGTAGGGGATGGTGAGAAGAAGCGCTTTGTCATTCCGATTTCATATTTGAAAGACCATTCGTTCCAAGACTTGCTAAGTCAAGCTGAAGAGGAATTTGGATTTGATCATCCGATGGGTGGACTTACAATTCCTTGTCCGGAGGACACCTTCCTCGACATCATCTCTAGTATGAGCAGATCTTGATAGATATCACAGAGTTTAGTTTGTAGTCACTAGAACAATTTTGCAGAGAAAAATATTCGTGTACAGTTTTTTCCCCATATGTGAATGGAAATTTTATACATTTATATTTCATCGGTTAGAATAATTACTCTTATTTTTGGTTACCGTATCATTTCGATTTTAGATCAGAACCATAATACGCAGTACATTTAAATCTGGATAGCAAACAAAAGTGGGAGGGGCCGAGGGGGGATCCTCTTTTGGACAAGAAATAATTTTTCTAGAGACATAAATAATCACAATTATGGAATTATAATGAGTAGCTAGATATTCTGAGATTAGCAGGAAACTGATCTTCATAGAAGTATGTTTTACCATTAAGCTGAAACTTCCTCAGTACCCTCTCTGTGCAGAAAGATGCCAGCAATGCAGGACATGCAATTTTGCAAATGAAAGAAAATTGAAGTGGTTGTTCTTGGTGGTTGGATCAGTTGGTTGAGTTCAGTATACCTCAGCCCTCTACTTATTCTTGGTGGCTCCGTGGCTGACTACAGATAGAGGCGAAAAACTATTATTGTCTTTCTCATGTTTACATATAAAAAACTATTAACCTAAGAACTTGTAACAAAATCTTAATGGGAATTCGAAAGCTAAGGATATATTTTTACTCTTGTGTTGATTTCTGATGGAGCTAAAAGTTACTATTGAAAGTAAATAATGGAGTTGATCAAAATGGGGCATTAACCTGTCTTTGCTTCTTACATTCAATCAAGTTTTGGGTTATAAATGCATCAAACGCATCAAGGGTGAGGGTCTAATGGAAAAAGCTTCTCTGTTTTTTCACAGGGCCAAGGCTGCATATAGTACATGAAAACTGCATTGCATAGTAGTGTAGTGGGCCCATCACTTTCAAGCCCACATCCTTCATGAGAGATGTTTAAGGGTTCCCAATAACCTAGCTCATTGCTGAGATAAGATAGAGGGACAATAAAGTGCTTCCGATCAACCACTTAACTGGAAAAGTGACCCTTGTGAACTGCTGATGAAGTACTGCAGCTTGCATCATCATCATTTAGTCTTGTTAATGAATTCATCTTTCTTCTGATGTCAACAAATTTCTGTCATTCTTTTGCAAGCTTGACGACCTTTTCAGAACTAACAATGATGTAATACCTTGGGAAAGGGAGAGGCTGAATTGGACATAACAAGATCTACAGAAAATCTGCTAACTGAATTGCATTGTAATTTAGATAATGTAAATTCAAATGAAAGTGATGTATATAAGACAAGTTTTAAAGACATGATATTATTCCTGATTATTGTGTTCTTTATATCAAGAGGATGGGTATAGATCGTAGTATGGTGAAAACATTCTGTGCTAAGCAAAGGCCTGGAATTATTTTCAGGATCAAACATAGAATGTGGAGTTCCCAATGGATACTTTGAAGTTGTAGTTTATGTTGGCCAGAGAAAAAAGTTCAGATTTTATGCTGAAGAAGTTCAAGGAGTGATTAATCTTGGATTGTCAGAGAACTGCCCACACAATCTTGTTGCCAGATAAACTCAATTGACAATTAAATGATGGAGTGCTTCCTGACACTATCGAATAAATAGAAACAGAAACATCAAGAATGGGTAAAGCTATGAACATACTTAATTTTCACAAATTTTGCTGTGTGTATATTAAAATTTCAAGTCATTGGCTCTCTTTACATTTCAGTAGAGTTAATATAGGCTACAAAATTTGTTGACAGTAAACTACAAACAATCAGCAAACTAGCATTTCCTGTTTTTTCCATTCTTCTTGATGCTGCGAAGCTGATGAGCACTGATTCGGAGTGATTGAGAAGAGCAATGCATCCTGGAGTTCTCTGGATAAACCTCTGCTAAGAAGTGAAATGATGTAGTTCAGGAAAACTGCATCACATGGTAGTGTAATAGGCCCATCCCTTGGAAGTCCAAATTCTTCTTCAGACAAGTTCAGGAGTTGCCTAATAATCTCATTCTCAAGATAAGATAGAGGGATAACAAAGCGCTTGTGATCAGCTGTGTAGAGGGCAAAGTGGCCCTTGTCCACTGCTGAGGAACTACTACAGTTATCTGCATTCTCATTTAGCCTTGAAAGTGGAATCCTTTTTCTTCTGATGACAGCAAACTTCTGCCATCTTTTTGCCAAATTCATGAGCTTCTTGGAACTGACCATCGTGTTTAAGTTAAGAAATAGAGAGATTTTGAGTGAAAGAGAACCTTGGATCTTGGCTGGACTGGATATGTTGTGTTTGGTGATCAAAATGCATTTGGAAGTGATCTATTTAAGCTCTTGAGGAAATAGGCAACCCCATGTGCCACCTACTGGTTGGTGGGGCCTCTTTCAGCTTCAATCAAACACCTATGTATTCTGGAGTTTTTCCATGTACTAAAACATATAATGTGAACTCACATGTTTTGTTCCCCATTAATCAAGTGATTTGGCCTAACTGGTTTAGATATCCATTGATCCAAGCTGATTGGTAGGCTTTCTTACATAGACAGAAGTGGTTAAGAAATCTTTATGTAATCAAGATTCATTGAAGAATGTGGGGAATGATGTTTAAAGACAACCAGTTGTTGATGTCTCTTATCTTGCAAGCTGGCAGCCCATCTATGTGCCTTGCTCTAAGCCACTCAAGCTGGCAGACCTTTCTATATAACCCCAATTCAGTTTGGTGTTAGTTCTCACCACTCAATAACCTACCTTCACTGAACTCCTAAATCCTAAAACAATCTGCATCTCCAAGTGCTTTCTATACCTTTAGAAAAAGAAACATTTGATCATGGCCTTGAGTATGGCAAAAATTCTGCGGACTACTAAAACAGGCCTCAGGAGGTCTTCTTCAAGAACAAACAGAGAAAGCGAGGTTCCTAAGGGTCACTTTGCAGTTTATGTAGGTGAGGGTGAAAAGAAGCGTTTTGTCCTTCCAATATCATACTTGAAGGACTCTTCATTCCAAGACTTGCTTAGTCAGTCTGAAGAAGAATTCGGATTTGATCATCCAATGGGAGGACTCACAATTCCTTGTCCCGAGGCTACCTTCCTTGACATCATCTCTAGTTTGAGTTGATCTTTAGAAAATACAGATAGATTAGCTTAGTTTAGACTTTTGTGAACAATTTTTTGGGTGGAAAGAGTATGTAATCTTATAAAGTTCATTCAAAGAATATCAGAATATACTACAACTTCATACGACAGCTGCCATTTTTCTTTCGAGCTTTTTCTTATTCGTCTTGTTACTAACAGTAAGTGCGCAACAATAACTGAAGAGATGTAAAACTCTCTTGTAATTTATGTCTTGTGCGTGGAATATATTAGTAAACTACAAACTTTATTGCTAATACATTTATATGAACAAAAATGTCCCTTTAATCCATTCCAATGCTAAATATGCCAGAAGAATCCTTAACATTTCTTGCAAAGCAATAAATATTACCTTTGAAGGTGGTCCAATGTCAGTATGTCACATATATGAGAGCCTTTTAAGTAATGAGAGGGCTGGTTCTGTCACAATGATTGAATATTTTTGGGAAAGTTATTTAAATATAACATATGCTTTTAATTGAACTTCGAAACTATACTATGTAGTTTACAAGAGGGAAAAACTTTTAGGGTGTGTTTGGTATACGGAATTGACAGAATTGGAATTGAATTGAGAGTTGAAATTCTATAGAATTGATTTGGATGGAATTGAATTCTCCCATTCCAATTCATTTTTGGCACTACCAATTCCAAATTCACATATTTTTGTGCTACCAAACAACAGAATTGAAATTGTTCCCAATTCCAATTTCATAGTTTGAATAACGTGTACCAAACAGAGCCTTATATTTTCACTCATGTCAAGCCATTTTTAGGACCAACCTGAACTCCTGTAGTTGATGAGAAAAGTTAAATGATTTCATATCATTTCCATTCTTGGCTGTCTCAAAATCAGTTTGAAAGCAGAGGGTTTCACTTCTAATATGGTGTACATATATATATATATATATATATATATATATATATATATATATATATATATATATATATATATATATATATATATATATATACA